GGAATAACTGTTCTGGTGGCAGCGATCTACCTTTTCCACACCTCATTTTTTCTCGGGGGCTCTGCTCCCATGCTCTGCCATGTTAGGTTTATTGCAGTTGCTGTTTGATGTTAGAAGGGAGTGTATGGCACCAGTAGAAAGCTGGGAGCAGTGTGTTCCCCATTGCTTTCCAGTCTGGAAAAGAGCCACAGCCTTTTCTGTGCAGATGCACTGTAAGATTTGCACTTGCAGGAAACATTTGGTTTTCTGTGTGAATGCTGATGCGACTGCAAGGCTGTCTGATTTGCCTTACAGAAAGCAGTTGTTTCTTGTCACTGAGGTAATTTTGTCTTTTTCTCCGTTGTTGCTTTTCTTGGATAGTTTTGGTCTTGGTCTATTTAATCTGGACAATTAATAAACAACCAAGTATTGGTAGTCAGCCATTAAAAGGAAGTGTCATGTAGTCTTTATAATCTTTCTGAAAAAGCTTGAAAAACATGTTTGTCATGTTTGTTCTTTCTTACGGCTTTTAGTTGAAAAGAAAATGATCCAAACTGACACAAAATAATAATCGGGTGATTGGAAAAAACATAGGTAAAAATATGCTTCAGAAATAACCTTCAGAGCACTTTTTTGGTTGCCTGATGCATCACAGCGTTGCTATATTTCTAAGTGCTATCAGTTTCATTTCCTCTGAATAAAAAATCATCTTGGATTCATATTTTGGCCAAATAAAAGTTGTTGCTTTTGTATACTGCAGTTATTACAGTTGTATTGGCTAGACAGCATTCCTAAACATCAAAATGCTTGCAGTGATTTAAATGTTTTCTTTGACCTATTTTATTTTGTATGTTGTATTTCTCACTAACAATTGCTTTCAAAATTCAGGTGAAGAATTTTCTTTTGTTTTGCACAACAGGGCTGATGGAGTGATGAGAACAATGAGCACAGAAAAACTCTTAAAAACTGTACCAATTATACAAAATCAAATGGATGCACTTCTTGACTTCAATGTAAGTTTAGCAACATGTACATGTCTAACATACTGTTGACTTTGTTGTACAAGCCTGTACAAGCTTGTAAAATAGGACGTTAAAGGTCCTGAACTTGGTTCCGTGTTATCTGTACAGCTTAAAGAGCACAAATCATTTTATTCATTGATATACCCCCAAGAAACCAGAAGAAAGAAATATGATGCTTACTGGAGAGAATGCTTTGTGCTAAATTACCATTGTTTATTGTGTACGTTGTAAGAATTGTTTGTTCACTTGAAAATTGACTATTTGTTGATTGTTTCTGTCCTCTGTCTTTGAGTTATATTAGTTAACATTAACAGTAGTTAACAGAAATGTCTGCCAAAATGATTTGATTTAGTTCTGTGCTGAGTGATCCTATGTTGACTCGCGATGGTGCTACTTTCCATTAATAGCCAGTGAGATGATTGGAAAGCATGCCTTGGGATAGAGCACTGGAGTTCAGCTAGAAGTTTTCCAATAAGGGATCAATTCAGTTAAATTAACTTCTTTCTGATCTTCCTAGGTCAATAGCAATGAACTTACAAATGGTGTAATTAATGCTGCCTTCATGCTTCTCTTCAAAGATGCCATTAGACTGTTCGCGGCATATAATGAAGGGATTATTAACCTCTTGGGTAAATATAACTGCTTTCTGAAATGTTAAATTTTGGGGAGGGAGCTCAGTAAACAATTGCAAAGAGCTGCTCTTTTTTGAGAAGTTGAAATAATCATGCTGTAAAACAACAAAATACTACTGTTATTTCCAAGTCAGATTTATTTCCAAGGTTTTTCTGTCCAATTGCATTTTCCATTGCATTGTATACAGGGATGGGTAAACTGAAAGCGAAGCTAATTCAGGGTTTTCTTCACTGAATTTCTTTTCTTGCACTACTTTTATTTGGTGGGGGTTTTTTGTCTCATTGAAGTGTATGGCAAACCTGAATCATGATATTGATGTGTTTTTCTCTAAGAAACAAGATTAGGTTTTGTTTAAGTGGAGTAAGTCATGGTCATTTACAAATTTGCAGTCACAGCATCTGCAAGTGCTTGGCTATCACAACTTTAATGTTGGTCAGTTTTAATGATTGGTTGGCTTCTGTTTCTAGAGCCTATCGTATATTTTAAGGGGAATTACTAATTCAGGCGTCAGGCCCTTTCACTTGCACATGCTGGAGATGCAGGGGAGCCTAAATTTGGAAAATAATTAAGTTGAAAGTAATCTGTTGATTTGCTTGGGTTTGTTGTATTCTGTGATTGGATCAAACTACCTGATTGCTGTTATTACCCAACACTTGCAAAATGGAAAGCAAAATCCAGAATTAGTCGGTAAAGGACAGTCATGCTTCCAGTCTGAAGCCCTTGTCTACTTCTTTTCCCTCAGTAAGAACAGCCAGTATGCAGTTGCTTTCACTTGTTTTTTTGAGTGAAACTTAATGTGGAAACAGGCCTTGAAAGTGCTATTTCAAGGAGGAGGGTGGGACCCACTTGCTTTCAGCACTGGCATTTGGTAATCAGTTGCACCTCCTTGTAGACCACACCATAACAAGAGGCATCAGTCCTGCAGAGAACATAAAGATCTTGCCTGATATGTGGCCACTGGAACAGAGTAGATGGTTGACTGACACATTATAAAATTTCCTTTTTTTTATTCCCCACCCAAGAGGATGAATTTACGTTTCTTTGGGTGACCCATTTTTAAACTTGATTCTTAAACCACTTTTCAGGGTGGTTATGCTTTTGTGAGATCTAGTGCCTGCAAGGTGTAATTGCATACATCTGATCATTAGCTCATGTGCCAACGGGGCTTTTGTCATTTGGTGCAATGTAGACATAGTGATTTCTGCTGTTAATGTAATAAAACAGATCTGCAGGCGTTTTCTGTTTGTCTTGTTTTATATGATTTTACTTTGCATGTCCTTTACAGTATGCTTGATTTCTTATTTAATGCAAATATTCTTACTGTTTATAGAAAAATATTTTGATATGAAAAAGAATCAGTGCAAAGAAGGCCTTGATATATATAAGAAGTTCCTCACTAGAATGACACGGATCTCGGAGTTCCTTAAAGTTGCGGAGGTAAACTTTAGTCAGCCAAACTTTTCTCTTTATTTGAAACAACTTATAGAGCACTTATTTTCTTATAAAGCAGATACTTCTTCCTTCCAGCCTAATTGCAGTTCCATCAAGGGTCATGTTGTCAGTCTCTACCCTGGTGATTAATTCATTTGAGGACTGTATTGAAAAACCTGACTACCAAATACTTACTGGTTTATCTTTTACTTGGGGAGGGTGTATTTGTAGAATAATTGTAGAATTTCCTCAGTTATATAATAATTGTGAGCTTTCTTCAAAAAAGAGCCTTGCTTTAAAAAAATCAAGTAACTTCATGGTAGTCTGCTGCTTTCTATGATTCTAGCTGTATTCCAGTTTGAAACCCACAATTCTGCTGTAAGTTTTAGATGACATAACAGCTTCACAAATAAGAAATTGAGGCAAGCAGATGAACATGTGATTTTTTTTTTTTTTTTTTTTTTTTTGTTTAAAGATGTCTGGGGTATAGGTGTGTTTATAGAGGAAAAAGCAGTTACCTTGCAAAATGTTTTGTGTTTTTTTAAAAAAAAAGTATTTAGTCTGTTGCATTCTTGTTTCTGAAGCATTGCTGAATTGATATCCTGGTATTATGGAATTCCTCACTTGAGATGTGCTCTTGTTCTTGTTTTGCTTTCCTTCATTATTCATGTGTCTCTTAAAAAAAAGTTTAGCTGTAAAGCTTAGCTCGTTGTCTGTCCTGACAGAAGATCTCTACCAGAGATACTAACTTCAGCTATCTTCGGTTGATAACATTATCGACTGAAGTTGAGCAAATTAATTTTTCTATTGTAACAATATATATCCGGTGTGGAATGTCTTAAGTTCGATCTGCGTTTTAGAAAACAGCTTCTTTATAAAACTTTGAAGGTGCTTTGTTTTAGCAAATATATGCTCTATATCAGTAGGTCTGAGAGCTTACCACATAAATTGTGGCATAAGCAAACTTCTCTAGCCTTAAAACTTTGAAACACTTGATTCTTATGCTGTTTTATTTCTAAGGTTGTCTTTGTTAAAATAACTCCAACACACCTACTTCAAATGTATATACATTTAAGAGAAGAATTTATTATAACCAACCATTATAGAGTTCAGATTGTGGAGATGTAAAATGTATATGGACAGGTTTGTGCTTTTTATATGACTATGTCTTAATGTTGTTTGCTTTTTTGAGCATCTCTGCCTTTAACAAAAGCAAACAGGTTCTAAAGCTCATTTGTTTTATTACAGCAAGTTGGAATTGACAGAGGAGACATACCAGATCTCTCACAGGTAGATAAACCTCTTACGTGTTTACCAGTATATGTCTGTTTTGGGGTTGCATAATCAGAAAAACTTGGCATTAAGGCGTTCACTTCTGCTTTCTTGCGTATATTGACACCAAGGTATTTCCAAGTTTGTGATTCAGTCCAACTTCTGTCAGAGCCTGGCTTTTATATGCAGTGAACCTGTTATAAAATATTATAGAAAATTTCTGTCATACTCTAATTGAGTTTTAAGACAACCTTATTTCTATCATGCTTGAAGACACAGTTTATATCTGTGAGTTCACATAATGAAACTTTTACATAATATTATGAAGCTGTGGTTTTTAGCAAGGTTGCTTTTGGCTATATGCCCACTTAAATCATTGCGAAGGCTTGCAGAGCGTGCACACTGAAATGACTTTAGGTACAATTTCCGTCTTACTGTCTCTTGACATACTGACTGCTTCCGATTCTCTGCTTGCTGTTTCCTAGTTGTTAATTTTAACATCTCTTGACATATTTCAGTTCTTACTGGTGAGTCATTATGACAGAGTAATGTAGTGAGGAGAGTACATCACCTGATATTTTAAGTAAGTAAATATGTACAGGATGCCAAGATGTGGTATAAGTATTCTGAGCTGTTGTACCAGTTGCCCTACAGCTGCATTCTCTGAAAGTCTTTTAACTACTGATTTGCTTTGGCTTAGAGTTTTCAAACCTGTTCCTGAATGTGTCTCTTTGCAGGCACCGAGTAGCCTTCTTGATGCTTTGGAACAACACTTAGCTTCTCTAGAAGGGAAGAAAATCAAAGATTCCACAGCTGCAAGCAGGTGCCTATGCCGTTGTCCTTTTGAACAATTGTTGAAACAAATGTTAAATCTATTATTTTCAATTTTATTATGAACTAAGGCTTGTGTAAGCTGTGTTGAAGACATTGTATTAGCAATGATAGAATAGCAAGTTAGATCTTTTGCTGAGTACTTAAGACAGGTTCTTCCAGCTCAATAGAACTAGAATCTAAGGAGCTGCAAGCACTTTCTGTAGAATCCTACAGATAGTGATATAACTTTTTTATAATCTTGAACTTTTGCCTGCAGAGTTTCACTTTATGTTAATAATTAGACTACTATAAGGTATGCAACACTTATTCATTAATATCCTTAGACTTGATATATCAACTTTAATCCCTTTTTTGTCAAGAGCAAGGAAATGCTTCCAGAAGTCCTTACATTAAGAATGGATTTTTAATGCAATTGGGGATTAAAGCCATAAGGTATATGGTAAAAGGTACTCACTGATTTTGAGTGCTTGCTGAAACATAAGGCGCAATCTGGAAAAGTCCTCTAGGCAACTAACTTCATAGTTTAAATTTTAAAAAGCTTGATATTGGGGGGAAGACTTGCAAAATTAGGTAGGATTTCTTTTTGCATGTTCAAAAAATAAGGCAGTAATATATGAGTTTTTTATGGTAGTGACAATATTGCAGTTTAGCACCATCTTGTTAGACAGATGTCACAATATTTGCTTTCTTTTGTAAGATTGCTTTTAGTTCATTTTAAAAGTTAAGTATTTATTTGAAATCATCTTAAAGATGATAAATGGCAGCCTTTTCCTCTGGTATATACTAGTTCCATTGATAGTTTCTTAACTAAACCTGTTAAATTAGCAACAATTTGAATTGGAGCCCAGATTATTGGAGATATCTGTGTATCTACAAATTAGGCAAACAGGAGAAGAGCAAAGACTTCAAAAGTGAATTCTGTGATGCAGTTCGGATGGGAAACATTTAAGGGGGAAAATCCAAAATCCAGCATATAGGAGTAGATAGCATGATTTCTAAGCATTTTCATTTTGCAGTTCATATGGTATATCTTATTTAAACTTAGCACTTGGTATTGTACGGTGTAAGATATGACCAATGTTATAAAGAGTTCAGAATGAGACTGGGTGGGTACAAGCACAGTGTTCTTTAGATGTTCCTATCACGTGTCACCTGTTAACAGCCAGCTTTTCTCCTGTCCAATTACTTCAGGGCTACCACCCTTTCCAATGCAGTCTCTTCACTTGCAAGCACTGGCCTGTCCCTCACAAAAGTTGATGAAAGGGAAAAACAAGCTGCGTTAGAGGAAGAACAGGCTCGCTTAAAAGCTTTAAAGGTAGGAATGCAGAGTTTCTAATTAAAAACACTTTTCCTGTTGTCTTGTTGATAGCTTATTAGGATTCTTAAAGGAGCAAAGGGAAAAAGCAGTTATTAATACTGAACATGTACTGTTGGCAAGGCGCTGGAAGTAAAATTTTATGTACATATACCATACAACTTGTGGAGGGTTTGTGGAGGGTTTGTGGCACCAGTGACTCTTGGAATTATAAGTAGCTCACACTAGTATGTGGAATAAATGAAAAGAATTCTTTAGTTCTGCTTTACTTGCATCCCAAAGTCATATACACAAATGTTGTTTCTGGATTTCTTATGCCAGCTCACTTTCCCAACAGGAGCAACGTCTAAAAGAACTTGCAAAGAAACCTCATACCTCTTTAACCACTGCAGCTTCTCCTGTGTCGACTGCAGCAGGAAGCATAATGACTACACCAGCCACTGATATTTTTTCTACCCCTAGCTCTTCGAACAGGTATGCTTAAGGGTGGTTCTTCACTGTGAGATGCACTGCAGCTAGGGTTTCTTCTAAATTTCTGTTGCAGAAGGTTGGTTGGGTGTAGAGTACATTAGTGATGTGATAAGAAATGATGTTTTGGGTAAAGTTGATGGGGGAAAACAAATTCTTGCCATAAATAACATAAAAAGTATTTTCGCATCGTCCACTTCCTGAATAGTTTCTGATACGAACTAACTGCTGACAGCCCTCGTAGCTGCTCTGAGTTGGTGAGCGGGATGGTTGGAACTGTAAAACAAACATGCTTTGTCCCCAGAGAACCTTACAAGTGGAAAAGTAAAATAAAAATTCAGTTTGGGAGGTCATATAGATAATACTGAATTTAATGTTGCATTTCTAGATCTTTAAAAGTAGAGTGATTACAAATGTTCTTGGTAGATTTTTCAGAAAAAAGAAAGCCTGAAACAGGGTTTGAAAGAAAAGAGGCAGGTTTTGCAGTCTTTAGTTGTATCTGGAATATCTCTGTCTGCAAGGACCTGCAAAGATAGTGCAAGAGTACTCAGTGCAAGCTAATCCTGATCTTTGACTAGCAGGAGCTGTTGGTATGAGTGAGTGTGTGATCTTCATTCTGTGAAATACCTGTCAAATCAAGCAGTAGCAGAATGTACAGTGCTTTTATCGGTATAGAAGGAAATAGCTCTCTGAAGGCATATTTTTGCTTTGGGTGTGGTCCTAAACCTAAACTTGTTCTGTTAGAGCTCATGTAAGAATCTACTTGCCTCCTTTAGCTTTTTGCTGTTCTTTGAAAGTAGTCAGCACTTTGACAGCCTTCTCCCCCCGTTAGAAAGCTATTGTAGGAAATTACTTGACACCAAGTATGTGGAAAATAGCTGAATCGCATCTAAGGAGCTAGAGAATCTGTCAGTGTTAGTAACTGAAAGACTTCCTTGAAAAAAGATTTTCTTCTAAATTGCTTTTTAGAGGCCAAACTTTTTGAAAGGGGCGTATGCTTTCAACTAGTAACTTTGAATTATCTGATTTTGCTTTTTAAGAGGTCTGAAACATAGAAATGTCTGATTAAGCTTCCTCAAACAGCCATCAATGCTACATAGTAAAGACAAGAGCATTTTCTCCTAAAAAAACAAATGGTAGTTTGTCTTCATGTTTAAATTCTGTTGCTGGCAGTATGACTGGTCATAGAACAGATTTTGCAGCAGGAACTGCCATGAAGGGGATATGTTGGGTTGTAAGTTCAGTTGCTTGCTATTAGAGGCAATGTGTCTAATTAATCCCTATCATTAACTTGAACAAGCTTTACCTTGAAAATTATCTTGGTTCTGCTGCCCACATCACAGGGCTGTGCCAGACCATGCTGCTTTTTAATAGGAGCAGTAGCAGCAAAATATTATTTCAATCCCTGTTGAAATGAAATAGTAAAAAACAAATTATACAAGTGACTGGATTAGCAAGAGAATGTACAGACATCTAGGATGTGGCTATGAGCCTTTAAACTCTCCTGCCAGTTTCATTTCAGAAGATGCTTGGATGCCACAGTGGCTTAGCTTCTGTCCATAACAGCAGCTGTACATGGAAATTTTGGTTCATTTCATGTGCTAAGAAGTTCTGGGTGTACACCAGTACTCCATTTTTTTCCAGGACTGATTTTAAAGTATGAAATGAACTCTCTGCAAGAGGATGAATTTCACTGTTCCTGTTTGACTCTTGAAATTATTGCAGCAGTTGTGTTTGAGACTTCACTCTTCATTTCCATGTGATGTTTTTGGGTCTCAATTTGGTTTTGAATAGTCTAAAATGTGCATTAAATGAGTTTTCACAGGACTGATGTGTTACAAAGTGTTTTAAGGCTTCTTATATTTTGCTTTCCCGAGTTCTTTAATAGCTTATAGATGTAAGCCAGTTTCTCAGCAGTGGTTGATAGTGGGAAGATAGAAGTTGTGGAATTTAGATGTAACATTTTGGTGGTGCAAACCATTAGAGTTCATTCTGTCAGTCTCCTTTTGTCATACTGTAGGGGTTTCATGAGGTTATTTTAAAAGTTACTCAAGATGGCTGCATATAACATGTTCTAGCCCTGGTCTTGGACTGTGAGGAAGATGAGAAGACTGGTTGTCTTTCTGTCTTAGACAGCTTTGATAAGTCAGTGGCATAATGTAGAACTTAGCTTGCTAAATTAACACTGTTCTACAGAACTGAAAATGTGAAGTTCACCAGACTTTCTGATTTTTGACTTAGTTCTCTCCATTTTGTAACAATTAATTTGTAACAAAGCTTTCTTTACTGTTGACAGTCGCTAGCATTTGCCTTGTATTGAAATCTGTGATGTAATTCAAACAGTTCTATTAATTTTTCTTTGTAGCACTTCAAAGCTGCCAAATGATCTGCTTGACTTGCAGCCAACTTTTCATCCCTCTGTACATCCTATGCCTGCTGCTCCACAAGTAGGAAGTACCTGGGGAGGTAAGCATTCTGAATCAGATTAACGTTCTAATTGCTATGGCTATGTTCCTGTAAATGTTTCCCCTAGTCTGTGGGTTGTTTCTTCCTTGAAAACAGAGATCTCGCAAAGACAAGCTACAACTGGATGAAGGTAGCAGAAAAAGTTAAATCTAGGTATGGATTCAAATAATGTAGCAGCATGTGGTGATCACAAAGAATGTTGATATGAGAGTTCTTAGTAGCAAAGTTCCTTTAATTGTTGACCAGCTGTCAGCCTCATAACTGCTGTCTTCAAGGTTCACACAGCAAGCTACAGAAAGTTAGCTGTGAGAAGTCAGTTCTGTGAAGATGTCTGCCATATAGACTATGTTGCATACATGGGAACTTTAGAATAGAGAATTCTATAAATACACGTTTTAATAGATAATAGAAGTGATAATAGAGCAGAACTTTGAGGCCTGAAAGGAGGCAGTTGTGACAACTATGCCCAGAAAGCAAGAAAAGGCAGAGTTAGTTATTGAAAACAAAATAAGGCACCTCTACAAATTCTCTGCTGTGTTTCATTAAACTACAAAGGCAAATTAGCACAAAGCTGTGGTTGGATCTCTTCAATTGAAGAGACAAAATTTATAAGGTACTCTTCCCTCTAAAATTTACATCAGAATGCCCAAACTGTTGTTCTGCCCAATTCCTAGGATGGACTGAATGAGATGTTAGATTATTTTACTGATACAGGCAAGTCCTTAAACCAGGGAGGCAAGTAAGAGCATCCTAGAAAGTCATGGATGTTACTTGAAGATTAGTTTGAGTATTAGAGCATTTAGTCATTTACTTAAAGCCTTTTTTCTCTTGTTTTCCACAATACTTCTGATACAGGTAATGCATTGCCTACTTGCACCATTGGTTATACTGGTGGAGGATTCAAAAACCTTATAAAGGTGTTTCTTTTTACATGTCTACATAAATGATGCTTAATAAAATAGCAAAATCCTGAACTTTGTGGCTACTTCCAGATTTATTTTTACTTATATAAATCAGGTGCTTGCAAAAATGCTTTCTTCTATGATGTGAAAAGTTGGGAGTTTCTGCTTCAGGAAGTTTTGTAGGCATTGTAATAATCCTGTTCTGAAATTTTACTTCATTATTTCTTTTTATGAGCTATAGCTTTTCCTAAACAACTTTCCAGTTACCTAACATGTCTTCATAATAAGCAGTGTATGTATTCTACTTTCCTATTTACTTCTTGCTGTGTGCTCTGCTTTTTGTGTACCTTCTCACACTTGTTTGTAGAGAAATAACACATAATTCTGAATGACGGAGGCAATACTAATGTATGTGGTAGATTCAAAAAGAAATAAAAGTAGTTTACTTGTGCTTTAGTTTTTCCTGAGTAGAGCATCTTTTGAGAAAGATATACTGAGGAGTGTATTGAGTTCTACAAATTTCAATAGGCTTAGAATTTAGAAGTAGAGAAAAATGTTTTTTGTCTCATTTTATTTGCTTTCCAGAAAGCATCTTCTGTTTCAGATTCTCATATTTGTTTTGTGGGTGAGAGATAAAAGGGGGAATTGTCTTCCTCACGAAGGTTACATCACAGTCTAGCATTTCTTTACTAACCTGAAAATTGAGCCTGAAAGTCTGTGTTTGTCCATTGTTGTTACCCCTGGTAAGAGTTTTCAGGAATAGTCACTGGTATGTCTGCTTACTACTGACACATTTCTAAATACTTCTGAGATTTAATTAACTGTGAAGATTTTTGGTTTGTCTGCTAAAATTTTAGGCTAGAATTTTGGGATTACCATTTTGGTACCTTTCATTACAAAAAAAAAAAACCCCAACAACAAACCCACAAATAAACCAAAAAAACCCAAAACCAAACACCACAACCAACCAGCAACAAACATCTCTTCAGCTTTACAGACATGAACACTCACTTCACATAGGTGAGGTAGATAAGAAGTGCTTTCCACATTTTACAGATGGAGAAATCTGAGCAATTAACTGACTTGTCAGAAGTTATACGGCAAATTAGTGGCAGAGCCAAGGATGGAACCTGAACTATTTCCAGTCCTGTGCTCTAACCACTGCACAGCATCCCTCCCTTAGGTAATTTTCTGACATGATGATGTTTGTATTTGGTGTATATGGTAACTTTGAGGAGCGTAGCAAACCAGCTATGAGTTGCAATGGGCTAAAATCAGTTACTGTTAAAAAATTTATGCAGCAACTCTTAAGTGTGTAATAAAAGGATAAATTCTTATGATGGCATTATATTTGGGTTGCTGCCTTTTGTGTTGCGCTTCCAAAAATGTTAAAGCTACCGAGGTTAAAAACTCCTGGAGAATGGGTTCTGTAGTTGTATGTTTTCAGTTTACTTTTTTTCAAACTGCAAGAGATGCCACTGGAAAATGTTTGTCATTGTTCTCTCAGGTAAAATACTTCTAGCTGGATAACTTAAAGGTAGAAGTTTGCAAAATTCAAATTACTCTTTTAAATGCACCTGAATCATTAATGCCTAATGATAGCCTGAAGGTGCAGAGTGATTCCATTGACACAAACAGATGCTATACGTATTAAAGGATGAAATTGGGCTTTAGAAACATTGAAGTGCTGCTGTCAGGAGAAACAGCAATTTTAAAAATCCAAATATGCAAGGATATAAATTGCCCAAACCCAATTAATTTTCAGTTGCCTTTGTCACTAGCATTGGTGAATTTTGAGAGTCAGACAAGACTGAACACACTGGCTAGAATTAGAATGAGGCAGATGAGTGAAGAGTCTGAGAACAGATTATACTTCTGAGAAAATCTTGATAATCTAAAGTTGTACTGCATTGTCGTCTTAGTCAAAACACATGAAGCTCCGTATACAACCTTGGGATTTGGGAACTAAGTAGTATGTAGTAATTTTCCTCTTGAGCGTATGTGTAAAATAATTCCAGTTGGCAGTAGTTTCAAGCAAGTATGGTTAAAAACTTCTTTCCCTCTAGCTTCTTTCATGTTTTATCTGAGCTGTTTATGGGATTGTTCAGAGACCATTCCAGCTGTGTCTGGTATATTTGCAAGCTATCAATTTGTAGCTAAACTTCAGAAGCAAAACAAATGTATCAGTGTGGAAATAATCAGTTTGACCTATCTGTTTGGATTTTTTCCAATTACAAGGAGAACCAATAGAATCAGAAGAATGTAAAGCAGCAACAGAAAAGGCAAACAGGAGCTGATTAAAGGCTAATCTGACCTGTTTTATTGTCAGACCTATTTTTTCTACAGCTTCTAGAATAGCATTCAAAGCAGATGACAGTTTTAAGCAGTACCTGAAAGCAAGGACTCGGTTTCAGGTGACTGGCTGATTGGCATGTTCACAAGTGCATTAGTTGGTAATATTACTATCTAAAACATGCATAACAGCAATACAAAACTTTGAATTGTCTTATATATTACAAATACTGTATTAGCTTATTCTGCTTATCCTTTATAAAGTGTTTGACACTGTCGTTTTGCTGACTGAATGATTTAGAAAAAGGCTTTTTAAGGTATTTCATTCACTCTTGCAACATAGCCAAGTAATTTGGGAGAGAAGTTGGGTCTTACTGAATAAGATATCTTGAGCTTGCAGAAAATCAAAGAGTATATTAAGTGTGCAAAGAAGAGTGCGGTTACAGTTTTAAAATTTCATTTCCTTTAGGACTTGCTTATGACTGAAATCTACATGTTATCAAGCTGTGTGGGATTTATAGCTAAGAATTAGGAGGTCAGATTCAGGGAGAGAAAAACAACTTACAGTTTGAAGCTGCTGCACACATCATGGTCATATTTACAAGAGTTGTGGATAAATTGGTAATCTAACCAGGTTTAAAAAACAAACAAAAAGGCCAGAAACTGAAGTACGTAAGAAACTTCTCTTATAATTATTATTCAGGCTTTTCTCTGTAGTGGTTTTGCTTAGACGAGTAAGCTGCAGTTCTAGGCACTGATAAAACAAATAGGGCTAGATGCAACTCCTGCTGATCTAGTGAGTCCTTGAGTTTTCTATCAAGGATTCACGTGCTTTGAAGCCAGACAGCTAAACCACCAGTCCTTCCAACAAGTATTGTAGCTGCCTTTCCTATCCTGTTTATCTCTTGGATCATTGGATACAGGAGTATTTTAGCCTGGCAATTGCATCCCTCCTCAGGAAACGTCAAAACTCCTGTATGCTTTGGGAAGGGACTCAGATCCATGTTTCCTTCATTCCCCAGTATGGTCTGACAGTTTTTTAGTAAGGAACATTTTCCTTGTCACTGGCTGTTGTCCCTCAAAGCAGAGCAGGTTTTTGCTTGCTTGCAGCTAATGGCATATCCACAACAAGCTTTTTTGCTCTTGATGCCCCAGGTAGTAAGGAAAGTGCTTTTGTCCTTTACGCTACCTTGGTGTATTCATATCTCTCAAAATTCATCATGCCCAGTATTTAAAAAAAAAAAAAATCCGTAAGCACAGTTTAAAGGAGGAAAAGTACAGCTCCACTGTTTTTGGTTTGTTCAGGTTTATAAAGCTGTCCTCAGGATGGTCTTGCATCAAATCCTCACTTAGCACCTGGGGTTCTGTTATGCTAAGAGGCAGTGTCCACTCCAGAGAATTTGTTGCAAATGTCAGGACATAACTGAGTGAAAAAAGTGATTATGTTCAAAGAAGGAAAACATACTAATTTTCAGTATAAAACACTCTATGGAAGAACACTTTATAAGACCAAGATGGTATTAATTTAAAAGAAAAAGTCAATTTTGGACAATAATTCTGTCGATTTGAAAATGAAACAACTAGCTAGGTCATCCCAAGTTTAGAGATGTCAGGAGAAAACAATACTTCCTGGACTTTTCTAACTCTTACTCTGCTACCTAGGAAGCAGCATGTAACTAAATCCATCTCCCTTTTCTTCTTTCTCTTGCTCTCTGGAACTGAACAGATCCTTTTTCTGCTACTGTTGATAGTGTTGATGATGCCATTCCAAACCTAAATCCTTTCCTTACAAAAACTAACGATGCTGCTCATCTGTCTGTGTCTTCTGATGTATCTACTTTCACCAGTAGGACACCCACACATGAAATGTTTGTTGGTAAAGTACCATTTTAAACTAACTTCCTATTTCCTAAAAATTTTAACATTATTTCAGTTTCTAAAGTATATTTATGGGGTCTTTCAAAACTAAAAGCTGGTCATTTAGGGCTGATTTTGTGCTATGTTGGAACTTGATGTAGTAATTGTGCCATGAAAATGATGTTAAAAATCCTTGCTTGGCTACCTAGATGGTGTTCAACCTGATGGGAAGAAACTTGGTTATAGTTAAAGCATTCTCTTATGCTTAGGATTTTTAAGGTAAAATACTATGTATGCCTGAAAATGGAAAGAAAATTCTACTTCTTTTTGTTCCTCAGGTTGAAATGTTCTTTTTAAATATAGGAGCTTAATCTACTTTTTTTGGTAGTGCGTGTTTTTCCCCCAGTGGTGTTAGCATTAACAACACTGGTAAAGCCATGCGCATTCTGGTGCATGGTCTATTCAAACTGTTTACCTACTAGGCAGTAAACAAATGACTCACCTTTTTAAAACTGTTGAAATCTTACTTTGGAAGTGATTCAGCATAGCTGTCATATTAGAAATCCTTCTAATATTTCTGTTGGTGCAGCTACATAGTAATTTAATTACTCTTCAATATGAAGAATTAAGGTAGCTTTCATAGACTAAAAATCAATTTGTTACATGTCAGTTCTGTTCTTAAGCAAAGCTAGGTTTAAAGACAATCATGCTGCACCAACAGGCTTTCTTTTTGCAGGTTGAGCCCCACTAGAATTGATCACAGAAGAATCCAGGCTCTTGTCACAAAGAGATCCTGATATCTCTGATATGTGTTGACAGAGATAAAGCAAAAGGACCTCTTTAGAGATCTTAATACCACCTTAGCTAACTAGTTTCCTAGCTTGTCTTTGGTTAGTGAAGAGAGAAAGCAAGCAAGATCAGGTACAAGAACTCTTGCTGTGAACTTCTCTCCACAATTCTCAGGGAGGATTAGTTGGTTGAGGCAGTAGTCTACAAATACTTTAAGCTGATACTACTGCGTAATAGTCTGGCCTGTGCTTCTAATTGGTCATCCCAATGCTTCCAGTTAAATTTGTATGGTTCATGTGAATGTAGAATGATCATTTGAAATACAGCTGTTTTTTTAGTGAGGTGATAATTCAGTCAGATCTGTTTCCTCTGTATAATTTGTTCTGGAGTCATACAAAAAGTTGTGGCATGCAGGGCTGTGAACAAGGAGCCCGGTGGGGTTTTGTGACACTCACTGGTTTGTGTAGTATTCATCACATGACAGCTCCGAAGTAGCTGGAGATGGATGGCATTGATACATTGCATTGCCTTCCAATGTCTCATTCCCTGAAGATGTACCTAGAACCGAAGTGCAACCTCCTGAGAGATTGATATGTGAAATGTAAGGGCAATTTTAGCTGTAGCACAGACAAAGGTGCTGCGATAATGTGATTGTGGATTTAAAATAACTCTTTCTGGTTCTTTAGATCATTGCAATCCATTTACTGAACTAAATCCCTTTGTGGCAACCAAATATGAATCCACTATTGGGCTGTATCCTTATACTTCAGGTATAAGAAAAATGCCTTGAAGCTTTTCACACTCATTTTTTCCTAGAGTGTGAATCATGGCATTTGCTTTGGGCGGGGTGGGGGGGAAGTATTTATCCTAATATAGATATAGCTGTAACTTTGAAACCGTGCTTTCCCCTTTTGTGTTATAGGTAATGTAAACCTGTTTCTTACTGTATGTCTGATGTGTATTGATTTCATTCCATTGGTTCTGTGTTGTTAGAGTATATGTGGATTTATAGACTGACCTGAAATTAAAGTTTTGAATAGTAGATAAACAGTATATCTTGGTTCTCTTTCTGTAACTCTCCCTCTTCTCCTTTCCTGGCTTTCTCTTGTGTGATATGCCTTATCAGATTCTTTTTGTGGTCCTCAAGCTTACCCTAATGCTTCTCATTTCCGCAATGAGCCTTCTTCTGTAGCTGGTCTATTTGGAGGTAGGTAATGGGATACAGCCTTACCCCAAACACAGAAATTTGAATGTGTTGTGTGCCTAGAGCTAGTAGGTACGTTATTGGCTACAGAAGTTTGTTGTTATAGCAACTCCAACTTCTATTCATATGCTTGTGCTAGGTGTGTTGTCACAAATGGTATATATTTTTTTCAGTTTGTGCTAAACTAAGGCTTATTTAGTCTAAACATGAAATGAGTATCTCTCCATTTCAGGATCTCTTGTAGTTTACATGTTGCTACATACCACACAAGACTTGCATGTTACAAGTATCTTCTCATCTTTCTCTGCCTCATTGTTTTGAAGATAAAGGGATTGGGATGTTCTTGCTGCTTATGGCATTTTTGTGGATGTATTACTCTTAAACAGTGCACTAAACTAGTACAAAGCTTTGCAATAGAACATGAGAAAGAGGGTTCCGCTGCATTAAATTACTGGCTAATCATTTGTGCAGCTATGTATGTAATACCTGTATAGGAACCCAGTACTAATGCTGGTCCTGGAATATCATCCTAGCAGTTGCTAGACGGGCTGCGGACTGTGACAGAAGATAATCTATCTGAACCAGATTGAACAGGGAGTGTTAATGTTGCAAGTTTTAGAAATACCTTCAGTAAATGTTTTGTGGAAGAGTTAGTTCTTAAAAGCACCTTAAAGTCACATTTTGGTTTAGTGTCTTTGAATAGAAAATAGCTAGAGTCATTTAACGACTTAAGTACTACGTATGACTCTGTTCCCTTTGTTCCATATCCAAAAGCAGGATGATTAGTTTCTGTCAAGCCTTGTTTATTCCCTCGAAGCAACTCCATTAAAAATACTGACCTTTGCACCTTTCAAAACATGCATGTTAGACAAAATGCATGCCCTGGGCTGGTGATTGATACCAGGAGTAGGATTTGATCTTTTTCAGAGGCTGATTCAAAGGAGTCCGATGTATTGTTTTGTCTTCTGGCTTGTCTCATCTCGTTAGCTTCGTACAGCTTGAAACTTCCTAAAACGTGAGAGCAGGAAACTCAGCTTGTTTCAGTTGAGGCCATTTTCTAAAGAAAAATATGAGCTACTGCAAGTCAAGTTTTCTGTTGGCACAGGCACGGTTTTTAAGAGTCGCAGGACATCCCATCAAAGGAATTCCTATCAGCAGTTCAGAGTCTCTGAAATGGCTTGTTACAACTTGACGGTATACTTGTCATAAAGATACTCATTTTATTTTGTTGATTATTTACTCCCTATCTTTTCCCACATTGTGCTTCCCATGTTTTACTGTGTGCCGTTTTCTTTGAGTTGTTTTTAAAAGTACATTGTTTACATTCTTAGTGGTGGATGCTTTTGAGTTATGAATTGTATGTTCCTTTAAGTCAAATAGGAAGGAACAGGTAATCCAAATTTTTTTTCTGTGAAGTTTATGTTAAAGGATAGCATCCTGTAGTTATTAATTATTTAGGTGAAATGTGATTTATTTCAGGAAAACAGTAACATTGAAATGAGGTGCTGTCACAGCAAGCTAAATTAAATCCAAGAAGTATTCTTGGTCAGTTTTTCCACTCACTGTGATGTTTTACTGATGAAGTATTTGTGATTCTTTTTGTCTTATTTCTCCGTACCATCAAAATTTCTGTTAGAAACCAGAAGAGCTAGTTTTCAAGATGGCATTGCATTTTTTTGGTGTTTTTCATATGAAGTAATAATTACTTCTGTAATTGCCTGAATATCAACATGATCTACATGCACGGTTGTGTGTGCGGTCATATGTAACATTAAAAACCTACAATTTTAGAAACAAATCACTATTCACTTCCATATTACTGTTAATACTGCCGAACATCATTTGCAATGCTTTGTACTGCAATAAACTTTCACAGTGTTAAAAATTTGTGTATTTGGAGAACACTGCTTTATAGATATACAGGAGACAGATGGAGTAAGTTCAGACAGAAATAGGAGTTGAAACTTGGCTTTAACTCCCCATATCTCACCATAATTACTAGAAACTTACCTGCCAAACATGGTGGCTTGCAAAATGTGTGTCCAAAGATAAGTAAGCAAGGACTATAAAAATAATTTATATTAAGAGTGTCTAATTGAAGGCATTACTGGTCAGACGCCTCAGGATGGTTTGGATCTTACTCCAGTTGTATCTAAGAGAACTGCTCAACTAATATAAAACATGGAGGGAATAATCTGCAGGCAGGTAATCTTGAAACAGATTCTGTACCTAGCCAGCTTCTTTTTCTGGAGAAGCATGGAGGTTATTTCCTCAATAATTTTATTGCAAGTATTTGGTAAAAGAGTAAGGAGGATGTGAATAGCTAGTCCAGAGGTTCCGCCGTTGTGGGGAGAAGTGTCTTTTATGGCCTGTCTGTCTAGTTTTTGAGACAAAACCTTTCTTTGGAGGAGTCAGTCTCAATAAACTACAGACTGCTTCCAGCTCTTTCTCTTACATGCTTCTCAGGGTCAGGGTGTAGTCTGGACCTTTGAGATATTCCTAGTCTTTCTGCAGTACTTAAGTACTATGGACTTACTTGGCTTGTCTTGCATAAAGAAGGTGGATTCATGGTAAATGCTCTATAAAAACATTCAACTTCTTTCTTTTTCCCCACAGGGTTCACTCCATCTCCTGTTGCTCAACCACAGCCATCAGCTGGCCTTAATGTTGATTTTGAGTCTGTGTTTGGAAACAAATCTTCTAATGTTGTCCTAGATTCTGGTGGTAAGACACTTAATAAAATAGATGATGTATGTCCTTTAACTTTTTTATTCTCGAGGTATAAATCTCTTAATCTGTATTTACTCATACTGCTGTGACAGTGTTCCAGCTGAAGAAAACTGACTTTAAAAGGTCAATAGCAGCATTCTTCATCCAGTTTTTCTTTATTAATCAAATATTTTTTCCTTACGCGGTATTTCTATGTGCACCCTGCTGAAATGTTTAACTTTATTTCCTTCACTTAAATGTTTTGTGCATTAAAACTTCACACAGTGAACAGCCTTCACTTTTACATGCTGTCCACTGAAATTGTGTATTTGTAGAGTGTGGTTAGAAGAGGTGAAGTTTTATCCTGATTTTATATGTGTGTGTAACACACTTGTGGCACTTCTTAGTCTAACATTTTACTCTTTTGATACTCAGATTATTTCAGAAAATGATAAATTATCAAAACATACACAATTAATTTGGACTGTGATCATAGTTAGTATTCTTTCTGTTCTTTCGAACATCTGGAAAGTAAATACTTTCTCATCTTTTGACATTGAACTCTTGACATTGGATTCTCTTTGGGCAAACCGGTGATCCACTAAAAGCAAATACAGAAGCTGTTTTATAAGACTGAAATACTTTAGATATTTATTCTTTGTTTTGTTTTACATTTTGATTGCTTTGCAGTCGTGAATCCATTCCATGTAAAACTGATGCCATGTAGGTTAAACTAGTAAAGTTTAATCTCCTTTCTCTAGTAAATATCTCCTTAATCAAGAGGCATAATAAGTTCTATCCTTCTTGTATAATGTAGCATCACTCAGTTAAAGTTTAGCCATTTTGTTGAACTTGATGTCTACTTAATTGAATGTCACAATGTTCATGGGAGTCCTGTGATTCAAATCACTTATGTTTATTTCAAGGCTTTGATGAACTAGGTGGTCTTCTAAAACCAACAGTGGCCTCCCAAAACCAGAGTCTTCCAGTTGCCAAAGTACCACCTAACAAATTAGTGTCAGATGATCTGGATTCATCTTTAGCCAATCTTGTAGGCAGTAAGTATTGAACCACTAACACTTAATCTTACTTATATAATTCTTTTAAATGAATAGAATTTTCAGTAGTATCTTTTTCTACTTTGTGACAGATTTGGGCATTGGAAATGGAACTACTAAAAAGTGAGTATACTTAATCAAAAGTTGAGCATTTTTATTTTCTTGATAATAAATTTTTATGGAAGTACAGGTTCAAACCTGTGCATAACAACATAATGTTAACCTTAAGAGCACGTTTGGGATTGTTCTTTGTTTCTCATGCAAGGTAGAATGAATTGTTGAAAGCTGTTGGAAGGTGACTGCAGACTGAGCAGTAGTGGCAGTGATAACAGCAGGCAAGATGTCCTCCTGTCTCTGATTCCTTTCAGGTTTTGTATATATTCAGGAAATGAGCTCATCAAAATGTTTCTCTGTAGTTGTAGGTAATCTTAGTACACCTTATAAAAACTTGGTGTGACCCGAGTGAGTGCAGAGCTGTATTAAAGATTGTGAAACTACAAGCTCCGACTTGTAGTTGACCTTTAGACAAGTGAATTTTGAAGTCGGGTGTATTCTAAAATAGTGAACAGCTGCTCTAGCAGCAAAGTTGAGAATATGTTTATCAAATTTCAGGCTTATCAGGGCCATTTGAATTCATTCAGAAATCTAGTATGCAGTTGCTCCTAAATAAACTATCTTGACCCAAGAAAAGTTGGCTAGACTAACTCACCTATAGTGGGGAACTTGACTGAGATTAGATAAAGCTGAGGTGGCTCACGCTGAACATCTTACCGTCATGAGGCCTTTTATCAACTCCTTTTGCTAAATGAATTTCTTCACTAACAAAAGAAGCCACACTTCCAAGAGGAAATGTTTGCCTGAGGGAGTTTTGTAAGAAAATCCAATGTTTTCTAAAAATTCTTTAAAAAATTTATTTGAAGTGATGTGAACTGGACTCAGCCAGGTGAAAAGAAACTGACGGGCGGTTCCAACTGGCAACCCAAGATTGCACCTACAACTGCGTGGAATGCTCCAACGTTGGTAAGCAAGTACTCATTTTAAAATAGTGAGTTCCCTGCAACTTAGATATGCAGACTGATGTATAACAGAAATTTGAAAGTGATCTTATAGTTGCAGTAAAAGAGTGGTAGAAAATTGAAGAAGTGGTCAGTTGAGATGTGTACTGCTTAGATTTGTTTTTCTTAACTGTGTGGTTCTAGTAAATAGTTTGTGATGTGACATGTGCAGGTTTAGCATAAACTTCAGTAGTGTTTGACCAGCCTCTCTCTTGGCAGGATAGCAACCTTTGTGTTTCACTTAACTGACATAAAACTGAATTCTGGGATGGGGGGGGGGGGCACGTTGCAATCTAGAAAAGTAGAAGTGTGAAAAGTATGTTCGTCAGGTGCACTGATACATCAAGTATGTTCACATTACAACTCGGCCTGCTCTGGGGGCGAGAATGGGCCGAGAGATTAATCCCCTTGGTACCTGTAGAGGTGTCTGTGCAGTGATAAGGGCTGTAGCTTTCTTAATGTATGTAACCACTGCTTTCCTGCCCCGATGTGTGCAGTTGTTTTTAATGCATGTCAGTTTTGGTGATCAACTTCATAGTGTCTGTTGTAGCAGGCAGTGTTGGCAAGGATTTGGGGGTAGCATGTGGAGTGAGGGCTTTTAATTACATGTACAAAAAAAGGAGGTTGGGAGTTTACGTGAGTAGTTTTCACAATGCTAACAGAACATTTTGGCATGTGAATCCTACTCTTTCACCAATGACCTGGAGAACTGTACATGCACAGAACGGGTGATAAAGCACCCTCGAGGATTTATGCACCTGACTCTGTAACTGACTGGGGGAGGTTGAATCCGCAGCGTAATAATACAACATTGTGGATCTGGAAGGTGAGAGCTTGTTTCCTTGGCTCCACCACCTCTTCCCTACTGGGTGTCCCTTATCAACTCACTACATTTATGTAGGGAGAAGTGTTTGTGGACCTTACCAGAGGGTGTGTAGATACTGAAGGAACTGTAACTACTCACCTGCTTTAATGACTGGTGGTTTGAGTTTACGTGTGTGCTTGAATCTGTTTAATAACTCGTGTCTTGTATATACATCTTCTTGTGACAAGTCATTACATTTAACAGCTTTTATTTTTTAGAGATACTATTGAGACACTTCTTTTCCTGTGAAACTGTTTTATTAACATAAAAATCTTAAAACAGAAATAATCTAGGGGGAAAAAATTTTGCTTTCCTCTGCTGGTCTATTTATTGTGGAGTTGCTGCTGCTTGCTAAATAAATATGCTTTTGAAAATAAGGCTTTCTTGTCTTTGGGAAAAAGGCATATACCAAATAAATGGACTGTGCAAAACAATTACGAACCCAATAATGCTGACAGTATCACAGGTGTACGTTGTCCCAGTAAATGACTTGAATTACAAGAATGTGTTGGGGTAAACATTTAATGTATTTGTTGAACTAAAATGCTATCTGTATATTCTGTTGTGTAAGTATTTGCTTCTAATCCAGTGTTATTGCATTATGTAATTGTTCTCCCTGGGAAATACAGAATGGCATGCATTTTCCACAATACGTAAGTGAAACAACCCACAGCCTTTTTGCAATCGACTGGCATGCTGATATTAACCACTGCTGTTGCAGAATCTCATAACCTTCTTGCTATTTACACATTTCTCATTTTAAAATCTTTGGTGTGCCAAAAATTGAGCTTTTCCTAGCATACACAAACTTCATAGGTGGTCTGCAGGCTCTTGACTCGAATGATGGCATGGGAAATACCAAGATTATTTTTCCTTGCTTTCAACTGTACCATTTGCTGCCAGAGAGCTGGGGTGTGTGTCTGTGCTGCCTTTAATGCACTTAGTGAATTTTGAATGAAGATAAAATTGTTTGTGTTTGAATAACTGCATGAAACCTCACGGGCTTCTGTTATACTTGGCACTTTATCCAAATTTACCGTAGCTCTTGATTTTTTTTTTTTTTAATTTTTTTTTTTATTTTTAGTGGGGAGAGACCAATATGTCATTAATGCTCATACGAAAACAGAAAATCCATGCTGACAGTTAACAAAGGGCAAGCAATAACCTGTGCTTGCTGTTCGAGGAATGCAGTCTTTCATTTCAAATGATTTTTTTTCGTTGTGTCAACAGTGATATTGGTCTTTGCCTGTATTCTGGTTTTATTGCAGGGTAACTCTGTAACTAAAGGATGGTAGGTTCATGCTTGAGCACTCAAAAATAAATTTAGTCAGCATGTTTGTGAGTAGGTGTGGATACACAAGCAAAACCAAAAAAACCCCTAATTTTCAGGATAGTTTTGCCACCCATGTGAAATATATGGATAATACACAGTCTAGATAATTCTTTGTAGGGGAAATCTGTTCTGGTGGCAAGTGAAGTGCCAGGCTACTGCCTATGAAAAGGCAGCTGATATCTTAGAACTGAATTCAGAAGCAGCTCTGCTGATGTTCTATTCTTGATTTATCTGATTTAATTAATCCAGTACTATCAATATTTTGTTGTTTCCCTCCTTTTTTGTATCAATAATCTCTGGGTGCCAAGAAATGCATATGGTCTGTGTCTTGTCTTGAATAGTAATCCCCACAGCAATAGCATGAAAATTAGACTGTTTTTTCTTAAAGGAGAGACGAGTTATCTGAGTATTTATAAGCACCAATTTATAGGCTAAAAAAACCCCTTTTTTTGTCCTTGTAAGGGTAATTTAGAAAGCAGATAATGAAACTGTAGAACTAAGAATATGGTTAGAATATGAAGAACTGTCTTTAATATATTTTTCTTTCTAAGACTTATCAGCCATTTTTTATGTATATGTTGCCAAGTTGTTTACAAAACGTAGCTTGACCCCAGGTTTTGTCTGCTGACAGCAACCTTACTGTAACTTCATAAAAATTAACTTAGGTTAAGGGTAATGTAAACATATCTGCTATGTACGAAGAGGGCTTTTAACCTGTTCAAATTCACTGTACTAAGTGGGTGACTGAGAGGGAGTGCGAGATGGATATTCATGTTAGTGTTGAATTTATATTGAAACACGGTAAGAGAATCCCCATAGTGTGTACATCCTGGCTAAAGAGAAAAGCATTCCTGTAATGTTGGCAAAAGCAATGGTAATTTGGTATTTCAGTCTTGAAAATTCTTAAGACTCCTTGTGTACCATTACTTCTGATTTTGAAAAATAAGTATATACTTCATGGGATTAAAAAAAAAAAATGCTTCCGCTTCCTGAATTTTCTTTCTCACACTTCTGTATCTCATACTCTGTTCTTTAAACAGGATGCTGAGAGAATGGTAGCTAGCAGGTTTGTTTAGTCAGCCAGAATCCTAACAGGTTAAAAGCAAATACATAATTACAGATTTGCCAGGATCACCTAGAAACTTTAGCTGAGGTATTGTATTCCATCTGAAATAATTTGGATACTCTCTTAACACAAGACTGCAAATCCGATTTATTCTCTGCTATATTCATAATAAGCCAAGTGCTGCAGCTGACCCCTAGAAAGCAGTATCTCCGCAGTATGCCGCTGGCCACTTCTCCTCTCAGTTCACCGCTGTTTTTTCACACCAGGCACCACCTGTAATGGCGTATCCTGCCACAACGCCAACAGGAATGATGGGCTACGGGATGGTGAGTGGAACTCCTGCACTTCAAAGTCATCAGATGCTGTATATCATTTGGCTGCTTCGACTTTGGTAGCAGTAGTTTTTCTGAACTATTTTACAGAAGACTGAATTTCAGCTCCTATCAGTTTATTCATTACCAAAGCATTGGGTGAGATGGGCCATTACAGAATGACTAAAAGGCTTTGTGACATCCTGAAAACTGTCCGGGCTCATTCAAACTTTACTCGGGACACTTACTGCCAGGAATCTCTGAAATGTTGATCCATTTTACAACCCTGGTGTTTAATTTTTCCTAAAAGCAGTAGTAGGTACCATAGTTCTAAGCGTGGCCGTTCCTAAGTGGCAGTCTAGTAGCAGGCTTTTCCCTTGGTGAGGGCATACTGGGACAGGCAATTTTGTTAGTACCTTAGCATTCCCTGGCTGCTGGTTCCTGTGTCTGCATTGTGCCAGCACTTATTTTTAGCTTACTTTTTGTAGGGTGTTTTCACCAGGGTCAGTTTCTTGAATGGGTTCTTGAGTTGGCATGATAGGAGGAGTATCAGGATTAGTCAAGGAAAAGCTGCTTGGAATGGGGATTGCTTCAGGAGGGTTGCTGCTGGGTCTCAACCCGAGCCTGAGGGGAGTGCCAAAAGCAGCACCAGAGATTGGCACCTATGTCTAAGACCATTAATATATGTTAAACTTTTAATTTGGCTCAGCCAGAGTGTCGGTAACACTTTAGACTTTGATTGCATAATGACTGAACGTTAATTGTACATATAGTTCAGAGTTTTCAATTTTTCTAGAACTCTGAACTATATGTCAGTCAGCGCTGCACTGACAACTGTAAAACTGTTCTTGTGCTTCTGAAGGCAGACAGGGAAGTGCTGTCAAGTCCTCTGTTTTGGGAGCAAGAAGACCAGCACAAATGCTTGTGCTTAAAGTATTTTAGTGTTTCGGATCTTTGCACCAAGAGATTAAATGGGCTCAGTTGTTATTGAGAGTATTCCTTGAAAAGGCTCTAACATTCCTTTCTAGTAACCTTTATTTGCAGAATATTGTAGAAAGTTCTTCTATGATTCCATACATCAAATATGACCAAGGTTTTTCACCTACTTACCGGTTTCCTTTCTTTCTTTAAATACTTGTGATGTATTAATGCTACTAGTGACTTGATGTTGTCTGGTATTTTTTTAGCCGTCACAGATGGGAGGTATACCAGTAATGACACAGCCAACTTTAATATACAGTCAGCCAGTCATGAGACCACCAAACCCTTTTGGCCCTGTACCCGGAGCACAGGTGTGTATATCCAAAATAATTGCTGCTAGAAACAAATGACAGCTGGGTCAGTTTCTTTATTCTTGTGTTGGAAAAACGTGTTGCACAAGCCCAGTAGTTCATGGAAGGATCGCTTCCTAGCTTCATATATCCAGGTTGGCAGCATCAAGTTAGTTTTACAGAAGTGAAGAGGATGGCCTTTTAAGGCATTGTTTTTCTGGGAAAAGGACTGAGATTATCCACAAGGATAAGAATAGGTAATGCCTGTGCTGTTTGCTGAAGACAGGCTTCTTCCCCAAAGTTCACCTTCTCTGCTGCTTTACCTCTGCATGTGGCTTTGAGATTGTGCTGTTACAGCTTTTTTCCCAAGTACATGCATTGCTGTTCTTTGACCTGTCACTTGAAAGTATTGGATTATAAAGTAACCAAGTCTGGCAGTAGCTGTAAATTTATAAGCATGCAGCTTTCACTTAAAAAATATGACAGCATTTTGCAGGGTACAAACAGGGTGTATGTGGCCTTTTAAGGCTATGGATGTTGTAGATGGGTTTGAAAAGAAAGTGGTATCAAACTTGGTGAAACTTCACCCCAACACCTGGTTGTTAGCACTGACCACTCGCAGTGGGAGGCACGTGGCATGTTCATTTAGCTTTAGTCTCTGTATTCTCCAAAGGTCTTTGTGTTCCTCCATGACTTTGCAGAAGACTGTTTACAGCATAGTGAAGATACTCAATAGCTGTACAAATCTATCTGGCCTTTCGCTGGGAAGTGAGGTGTTACTTTAAATGGAGTGCTCCTTTAATTGCCTGCTTTTCTGCTTCCCCTGATGTGTTGCGTGTAGATTCATTACCTAATGTACTGGAACAAAAGAGTGTGCTGAAGAGTTACTCTGACAAACAATGAGAACTGACTTAATACAGGAGTTAAATTATGTACCTTATATTGTTTGTTTTGCAAACTTCTGTCACTGGGAAGTTTCTACCCAAATGCACTTTTTCAGCCCAGTAGCCATCTGAAGGTATTTTTTTTGCAGTAGGAAAAACTTGGGGGGATATAGGTGGTTGGGGAATGGACAATCTTGAAACACCTTTGTACTATTTTCAGAAAATATTGAGATCATTGAGTTTGTGTTTGTGAACTGTAGTTAAAGGCAGAGCCAAGTTTAGCTGGCAGATTGGAATTCCAGTATTAACAGTGTGGTTTTACTTGCTAGTCAAATGTTTCTTTGTCAGAGTTCACACTGTACAACATGAGTCTTAGAAATACATAATATATTGGGACTGTGTTTTGATCTTGCTATAAAGAGCTCGCTCTTTATAGGTGACTGTTTTAAAACATGCATGCATAACTTCACTTAAGTATATGTTGGTGTAAGGTTGTGGGTTGTTGTAAGGTTTTTGGGACTAGAGTATGGAGGGAAAAGAATTCAGCAGTAGGTTGGAAAGGAAAAGAGCCTCAAGCTTTTCTTCAATGCCTGAATGGGATCCTTTAACAGGAGAGGCTGTATTGTGTGTTGCCAGTAGGCAGGTTGTCCATTTTCTTCACTAAAACAGATACTTTTAAAAAATTTTTTTTAAAAAGCATTATCTGAAAGGGATGCTGTTAGATTTCTTTAGCTAGAAATGCAATTTTCAGTTGATTTTCTGTTGAACTTCTGAGAGCTGCTTTGCACACTTCAAACAAGTGATTTGGTATCTTTCACATGGGTTTTATACTATTTCAAGGGGGGAAAAAAGTGTCATGAACACATTCTTAAGTGGATATCGAGTTAAAAGGATCCTTAAGGATTAGAGTGGTTTTTTTTTTTTCTGCAATTCCCAAAACATCAATTTTGAAATGTCCTTTTAAAAATATAAATAAATCTGCCTGCCTGCCTAATTCAGTTATACACAGGTAGGTAGGTCTGAATAGCTAGATGAGCCTTTCTGATTCATTTGACATGGCAGGGCTTGGTCTAGGTTGAATCCCAGCTGGCTGTCGTAACAGGACAAAGAGGAATTAGTCACAAGTGAGGTGTGTAGAGCTGTATGTATTGTGCTTCTCTGACAACATGTTTGGCTCCTGTGAGAATTAATTTGATAAAAACCACACCGTTGGAATCAACATTTGCTGTGTGACCAGGACTCGGGGTTTTTCCCTGAGACACATGGTCCATGTTGCTTGCAGGTGTGGAGTTTTCAGAACTCTGACATCAGTAAAGCGACTTCAATGAGACAAAGGCTGCATGTGAGAGCTGCTTCCCCATACACAGCAGAGATGGCATTTACTAACGTATCGCCACAGAGGGAATTTACAATATTATCACACTAAATTTACTGTATGCTTAGTTTTGAGGTGGTTCTGAGAGCACGTTTGTCTGTTTAGGTTTAGTTAATACTCCTGTTGTGCCAGAAAAAGAAATAGGAAAATAAAGAAATGAAAATGTGTGTTCTTGAGGTAAGGAAACAAATCTTAAAGAATGAATAATGGTTGTCCGAGAGGCACACAATTCAAGCTGCCTACATCCCACGTGGACCACTGTAAACACCATTACTATGATACAAGTTTTGTCCATGGTGTCATCATTGCCAAAAAGTTAATTGTTTTTAATATTTATGTTTAAAGCACTAGATTGTATCACTTGCCTCTAGTCTGTGGATAGATTTTGGTTGCTGTCTACAGTAAAGCAGCTTGAAGGTACTTAATGACAGACGCAGAATTGTTGCCGAAAAATTATATTGCCAAGTTGTAGTGTGTTGGGAACTCCTCCTACTTTGTATGCAGACAGGTAAAATAGGCATCCCACTGTTGTCCTGTTTCTTTATAATTTAAATTGGTGTTCCTAACTGGATACTCTTAAGGTGTTGTCTTTTATAATTTTCCTACCTCTGGACATACCTGTTTTGGCTCTCTTCAAGTGTTCTGTTTACATGCATGCAACTTTATCTCTAATTGTCACTATCAAAAGCAAGGGTAGTTTGTATTTTTTATGGGCAAAGTTTCAAAAGTTTGAAAATCTAAGTGCAGAGGATATTCATAATTTTAAAAGAAACTGACACATACCTTTTTGCCTTGAAATGACTCCTCTTGTAGTACAGTCACTATTTCCTGCTTGAGAAGGGAAAATAATGATAAAATATTTCTTTCATCATGATAAAATAGCAGGCTTTCCTCACTGCAACATATGGTACCATGCTACCCAGAGCAGGGAGAACGGTCAGAGTTGTGTGATTAAATTTTAGCTGGTGGCGGGGAGAGTGTGTGTGTATGAGGAAGGGCCAGGCTGAACCAGTGGCCAAACTGAGGTTAAAGAGTAGCCAGAGTGATGGCAGATGTGACACAGTACAGCAGAACACTTCAGACAAGCTGGATCTGAGTGATGTGCAGTTAACTGGAACATAACTACCTGTTGTAAGTCCTGAGTGCTGTAATGCGCAACAACAGTGCGTGAATGTTCACCACCATGAAAAACATTATCATGTTGGCTAATATAAAATGATACGGTACGGACAAATCGGTGATACGCCATTAAGTGTTACATATTGTGCTCTGATCACCCCTGTCACGACACAGCCTTAGGAGGGGAGGCAGCTGGGTAGTGAAAATTTTAAGATTTAAAATAGAATAAAGAAATTACTTGGCCTGCTGCCAGCCTCTGCGTGAATTGTAAAGCTGCAGTTGTTAATGTCACTGTTAATGAATTGTACAGAAAAAGTAGTAGAAGTGATCGTCTGGTGATGGGGAAGAATAGGTAAATGTGCAAATGAGGAAGATGGCTGGCAGTGGGGGAGGTTCATAGAATAACAGAATGGTTTGGGTTGGAAGGGACCCTTAAAGGCCATCTAGTCCAACCCCCCTGCAGGGAGCAGGGACGTCTTCAACTCGATCAGGTTGCTCAGAGCCCCGTCCAGCCTGACCTGGAATGGTTCCAGGGATGGGGCATCTACCACCTCTCTGGGCAACCTGTGCCAGGGTTTCACCACCCTCATTGGGAAAAATTTCTTCTTGGAGCTAGTCTATCTGCCCTCTTCTAGTTTAAAACCATTGCTCCTTGTCCTGCCGCTACAGGCCCTACTAAAAAGCCTGTCCCCATCCAGCCCCCTTTAAGTCCTGGCAGCTGCAATAAGGTCTCCCCGGAGCCTTCTTTTCTGTAGGCTGAACAACCCCAACTCTCCCAGCCTGTCCTCCCAGCAGAGCTGTCCCAGCCCTCTGGTCATTTTTGTGGCCTCCTCTGGCCCCGCTCCAACAGGTCCATGTCTCTCCTGTGCTGAGGGCTCCAGAGCTGGATGCAGCACTGCAGGAAGGGGGGGTAGAATTGCCTCCCATGACCTGCTGGCCACGCTGCTTTGGGTGCTTTGTTTTTTTAATTTGAAATTGTGGAAGAACAGGCTATGGAGTTCAGGACAGTTTTAGGCCAGAAAGTAAGCTTTACAGGTGCTTCTTTTGGCACACTAATCTTAAAATATATGCTAAAACAGCTTGACAGATTTGTTTAATGAGAAACCAGTATCTAGCTAATGATGGGAATCATCACAACACTCACTTGCGGATGGGTTCTTCTGTCATACTGTGACTCCGGAGAGTTTTTGTCTTTGCTGGAAGCGGCAAGAAGTGACAACTGCTGTTGGAGGTGAGACTCAACTTTGGGTCTGCTCCAGTACCGTACAGCATTTCAGACCACACCAGTGCTGGGCAGTAAGGAGGCTAAGCAGTTTTAAAAATCATCATATTGGTGCTAGAGAAGCTGATGGCCAGTGCTGTTTTAAATGCTGCTTCTTAGAAAGTGCTAAGGTAGGTTTTGGTTTTCAGATGTATTTGTAAGCTGTATTCTGGATAGATGCAATGTAGGAAACTGTCTAACTACACTTTCCACATTTTTTTAGGCCTCCTTTTTGATAATTAGAGGAATCTTGTTAGAATATGTATTTACTATAAAGTATTGTGTCTTGTCTGAATGTGGCTGTGGCATCTAGGAAGTAGCATTGTCAAGTTTTTTCCTAGTATTTAGGCTGAACAGGCTTCCTGAAATTTCAGCTCTGTTTCTGGTTACCTGCTGATGTTGCACAAATGACACAGCTGTAAATCTACCGGTCTTCCACACTGCTTTCAAACTGGGACATTGCTTTGGACTTGATATCAGTTGGAGATTTGGCAACTCAATTTAACAGGACTTTTAATATGTGGCTCCAAGCTGTTTGCCCATGAAGAGGAAGGATGCCTCATGAAATCAAGTCGCAGCAGGCGTGCCTTGCTTGAAGTCATGACTCTGTTGGACTTGATCATCAGGCTGGCTCAAATCCTGGAGAGTGGTTGGGTGTGTGAGCTACAGCTTTCCAAAGGGAAGAACCAACTTTAAAAGGGGAACTTCTGACATCCTGAAACCGCTTCTTGAGCACTTCCCATTCTGTCTTATGACTCTTCCATAATCTGAATCCGAGTGCCCCATTGGGAGTGGGGTTTCGGGAGGGAGATAAAAGTTCCAACCCAGATAGAGAGTTGATCCTAAGAGATCCTAAAAGAGCTCCTTCTCCTCACATAGTTTAGGATAAACATTAAAGTGAAAAAATTAAATTTGCAATGACAATATTTATACTCTGGGCACTTCTGCAAGCAGATCCCATAAGCATGTTCCCTGTCATGCATAGCTTGGCAGGCATTTGGTATTTCTGATGGAAATATGATGTCTTCATACGATGTTTTTGCAATGGGCATGAAGTGCAAGTATGCACTTAGTGACTTGATTATGAGTAAACTGTTAGTGATGGAATCTGAAATGGAGAAAGCGGACTTTTAATTGTAACTGCAAAAACATGCAAGCTCTGTGAGGTAGGAGGGCAAATAGAATTTAATAAAGCACTGATAATAACTGGGAAAGCACTACAAAAAAGGCAAAGGGCTAAAAAAAAAAAAGAAATCCACAAATAGCAGATACTCCTGCAATTACAGCCTGCAGGTTATTGGTCCCTTCCAGCAGCAGCTTAAACTCCAATATTACCTACTTGTAAATTCTGTGCTTTATATGGCTGAATTTGTAGCGTGGTGCTTTAAATACACAGCTAGAGGATGTGACTTTTGTTAGTGTATTGGTCTCAGTCTTCAGTTGTCACCTAAAACAGCAGCAGTTGACGAACTTTAATCTATTTTTTTTTTCCTACCCCCAGAATATATCCTGTGTTCTAGGCCCTAAGTTGAGAATTATCCGTTATCTGCTCTCCAACTTCTTTTTATACACACCCTGTTTTGGGAGGAAAAGATGATGAGAGCTGTTTCTTCTGGAGAAGGCATCTGGAAAGTTGCCATGGTCTGGCCAGGCCCCCAGCGTCATCTCTCCCTGCCAGTACATAGTTTTGCCAGTAAAGCGGGGAGAGCGCTAACCCGTTTCACAGGAGCATCAGGCTTAATGTTTTGCATCTTCTTTTGACGAAACCTGCTGTGAAAGTGTGAGGTTATCTGCTTATTTGGCAAACGCCAACTGAAGTTTCCTTTCTGGAGGGTCATGTCCAGCTTGTTTCTGCATTACACCAACCATTGAGGAGGCTTTCTGTTTTCCATATGACCAAACACCTTGTTTTAATAGTTGATTTCTGCCAACTTTGCCTCTTAACCTCCCCTTGTCCTTTCATTACACATTCAGCTTTCATATTCTGTCATTCTGAGACCTTTTTTCTTTTTCTTTCCCTTTCTCTGTCGTCTTTCCTACTAGCTGTCTGCAGCATCCAGCCCTTCCAGTCAGAGTCCTCACAGAGCCTCAGGAAAGGATCCCTTTGCAGAGCTCTCTCTCCAGGATTTCTTGTAGAACAACTTAGGTATTGTCCGTTATTCTGGGGAGATGCTGGTTTTTGTGCTATAGAACAAAATTAAAGTTCTAACTCAAGTTTTATTAACATGGCTAGAACTGTTTCTGAAGAGAATAGAAACAAAAGTCATGTTGAGTTGGAAGCATTGTGGAAGTGACTTGGAAACTCGGTATACTTCAGTGGTTTAAAGGCCTGATCAAATCATTTTGCTTTAACCCATTGGAAATAAAGTTTGATAATTCCTTTCTGAACTGCAAGAGCCAGCAGATGTGGTCCTGTGCTGCAGCTGGGGAGACAGAACCAGTCCTTCCTGGTATTTACCATTTCATCAGGAAAATGTTTAGGGTTCGTGGTTAGCAGCAACCACCTGAGTGCTGCTGGCAGTCTGCTTGTGCGCCTCACCAGAGAGTTAGCTTTATGCAGAAGGAGATTCTTGCTTTCCTGTGTGCGAGGGTTAAATTTTGGTACAGATGTGCACTGGAGTTCTGGTCGTCTTTATCAGTCAGGCGCAGGTGGAAGTTAAATACTACATTGAGTGAAAACATGAAAAAATTCAAGAATACGTAGTGTAAAGAAAGAGTGGGCTTTATTGCACGCAGTGTTCTGCTTTTCTGTGTGCACTTTCTCTGATTCAGTGTGAAAAGTGACCTTGAGTTCTTTTCATAATGATGTTGATCTGTTATGCTGCCGCTGGTGGCAATATTGCATGGATGAGTAGATGGTTGTTTTTTTATTGTTGGACAAGCCAGCTTAATGCAAAGAGATGTTCCAAAGGCTGGTGTAGTTGGAAAAACATCCTGCTGGCCCTCAGTTGTTTTCTGGCCCTGATTTTGTAAAAATTTTTGTTTCTGTTCAGAACTTCAGATCTTGGGGTAGTTTGGGCATTTGAAGAATGGAAATTTTTGAAGAAAAGACAGGTTTATAGTGAAGTCCTACTTCTGTTGGATGTTAATACGAGGGTTTTTCGTCTTTCCAGATTCAGTTTATGTAACTGTGTTAGATGGAAGAGAAAGGAACGTTTCCAAAAAGATGTGCTCACCAATAAACCCCCACTTCCAGGAAAAAATGAACTTCAGTCTCTCAAACTCTCCTCTTTCATTAAACAATGCAGTGAAATGATGAAGACCGATGAAGGAACCTGGGACAACTCCATCAGAAAACATCAATATACAGTACCAAGCCAAGAATTGCCATGAATTAAGACTAAGATCTTTTTTTTTTTTTCCCTGTCCTAACACATCAATACTTTCAGCTTCTAATAATATCCATGATCGGTAACATACGGAGAGAAGCCTTTATTCTGGAAATTGAGATTGGTATTTGGAAGTGCTGTCTGGAGTGGAGATATGTCCTTTACTGTAACTCAAAACAAGACTTTGGGCAGGGGAGGGTCAGATCCTAACTCTTAATTCTGCAGTTCCCTTTTCTTCAGTCCTCACAAATGTAGGCACAGCAGTAATGGAAATTAACTTTTTTAAAAATTATATATTCAGTTTGCAGTAGACATTCCTTATGTATTATTGTTTGTATTTATTTATGATTATCAATTTAACATTAATATTGTATCAAAAAAACCTCCTTATGAAAATGAGTATGGATGTATACAGTATGTCTGATTTTTATCCACAAAGAATGAATCTGATTCAGAATGCTTTTCAGCTGACATACAGAGCACTAAATATTTTAAAGGTCTGAATCTAATGAATTCTCAGTATATATGGGAATTAGGGAAGAGCTGTAAAATGCATTAATCCTTATAGTCAACTCTGTGCCTAGGATTTTGCAAGGGAACAGTTAACTGACTAGGAGAAGCACTACATTTTTAATTCAGCATTAGTGCGTTGGGAAGGAACTTTATTGCTTTGTGCTTGGCATGTCATTATTTTTACATTTGACATTATAAGGCCTTTCCAAAATGAATGTGAGGAATTGCTTTCATTTTAAGACTTTCCTTCTTTTCTGTAAAAAAAAAAAAAGGTGTTGTGTGTTGAGGGGAAGCCTTTTCACTTGGCTAGTGCCATGTTTATGATCATGTACCTTTCAAAAGTAAAAAAAAAAAAGGGGGGGAAGTAGCTTCCTTACATAGGTCTAGTGGGTATTTAGTTAACGAAGAATTAAAAGTAGCACTGTTGATCGGTGCTTTGTGTAAATACATCATAACTTTTGGGTGGAGTGGGGCCTTCAGAAGGATAGTCAATGATCTGAAAGCAATTCTGTACATGAATTAAGCATACTTGCTGCATTGTCTCTGCAGATTCTATTTTTGTTTAAAATATTAAAATGTATGTTAGTAAAAATGGGTGGATTTTCAAATAAAATGCAGCTTCCACAGAACTTTTGTTACGGTATGAAAGTCTGAGGTGCTTCTTTTCTTTTTGCTGCTTAAAATGTGCACTGATAATTGCTTTGTTTACTTAATAAAATACCAAATGTATTTCATATGTGCATACTGTATGACAGGGAGTGCAGTGCTATGAACCTGAGAGTGACATGATCCGTACACCAGCTTCCTGGCGGTGCAGCAGTAGATGGCTGTGCCTCCACTGCAGTGAGTTGTCTCACTAAGAGCTGAATTCTTTACTGAACATGATTTTTCATGATCTAGTTTTTCAAAATATTCACGGCAATAAGCTTGTACTGTTTGTAACTGAGCAAGAAGTATAAATATGCCAAAATAATTACTTGGGTATCTTCCCTAATCTTCCAGCAGTAGTTAATGGTGGTGAAGCTTTGAACAGCTTGCTTAGGCCCTTGTCTGCATTAGATGCTAGTTTCCCTCCCAGGGAGTTGTGATATAAATGGAACTTCCCTCTTCTCTGCTACCTGAGGCTTGTCGTGAAGGAGGTACAGCATGAAATCATCAGTGCAGAGCAGTAGGTGTAAAATTTGTTTCTAAAACTATGAATTTTAGTAGATGTGAACATGGTTGGGGTGTGGTGGTATTAGGTTGATGGTTGGACTTGATGATCTTAGAGGTCTTTTCCAACCTTAATGATTCTATGACTCTATAATTAAAAAAAGCCCAAACCTGTTACTTGTACAGCATATAGTGCACATGCCCAGAGCTGGGGATGTTTACTTAAAGATTTACCTTCTGAATGTCTCAGTTGTGGGACTGTACCACCAGAGAACAACTATTTAGTTTTTGCTTGCACTCAGAATATCAAAAATGTGAATGGCCTGAATCTGGGGTCAGCTGGAAAAAACATGCACATTTGTGTCCTATTAGGTAAATCTGTAACTACCAGGGTACAAATTGTTCTGAAACACAGTCCATAGCTTGTGTGAAAGGTTAAGGCAGACCTTCCTCCTCCTCCATAGCCCAGTGTGCTGGGTTATGATAAAAACAGACACCAACCTCCTCATCTGTTTAGGTCTATGATGCACTCTGCCCAGTGGTTTCAGTCTCTCTCAGACTACTGACTGAGGATAAATCTGCTTTCTTAGATCTTTTTGGTCCCTTGGACCCCCTCTGTGGGGCTGTGGACTTGAGGCTGCAAATCATGCAGGTGCCAAAAATCCCCAGACAAACAAAACCACCTCTTCTGCAGGGATGATGAATGCTTCAGCTGTGCCCCTTTACAGCTCACCCAGAGTTGCTCTGTGCTCTTTAGCACAGCTGCTGTGCAGGCTAGGCTTTCTTTTTGGAGGCCTTGCTAATAAGCCTTGCTTTTGGTTTACTCTTCAGAGACAAACTGGCTTGAGAATTTTCCTGAGGATTATTTTCCCATTTACTTTGCTCCTAATAAGTATGTTTGCTTTTGGTATTGCTGCAATAACACTCAATTGTAGCTTAATTTAAAAAGCATAGCTCATAGACATGTTTCTTTTGCATTACTGGCCATTTTCAATAATTGGGGGTTGTGAAAACCTGGTTCTCCCCAAAATTGAGTTCAAAGGCTGCTTAACCTAGAAGAGCAAACTGTCTAGGAAAGCTGCCTGCTCCTGGCAAGGAGGGGAGGATATAGTGCTTTGTTAGAGCACTGCGGTTTCTTTTAGAGCTTTGCGAAGGAAAATAGGGTGTCAGAATCATCACAATATTTTTTAATTTTTTAAAATCAGTCATATAATTAAACCAACTGGGTTTACCTCTTAAGACATTATTCCTGCCAGAACAAGAATCTGAACATCTAGTAACTTCATGGGTTTTCTAAAAGCCCAAATGTAGAATCTTCATTTGAAGCCAAATCTAAATTCTTGCGCTGCTTCTGTTCTTTGTTTCAAAGCCACAAACTAAACTGAACTGTTCTGTGCAATAAATTGACACTGACAGTACCTCAGGAAACATTTAAAAACTGTTTTTATGTGACATCAGAGCGTCCATTCAAGCAGCTGCTGGAGTAAGTCACAGTCCCTCCCAGCTGCCATGTGGCCCTTCCGCAAGAAGAAGGGATGGGGTCAAACCTTGCATCTTTTATTAGACACAAAGTGCCTGTTTTCAGAGCCTGGTATAAATTTTTGTAGTGACATAAGTGAGTTGCAACTTGAAGGCCAGAATATAATTGAGATAAAAGATTATGGCAGAAAAATGAGAATTAAGTGCCAAAAACACTGGGAAAGATAGGAAATGCTGCTGAGAGCAGGAGATAGACAAGATTATGTGAGGAGTTGTGAAGAAATGTGGGGAATACAGAAGAAAAATCAATGGTAATGGAACCATACGCAAACTAAATAGCTTTCTCCTTGGCCTGTTGGCAATCTTTTGACTTGAACTTTGCAGCTCCCGCACACTTGCAGGGGCCAGAGCAGAATCAGTCTTGCCATCTTTTGCCCAACAAAAAAAAGTGAGTTACCGATGTTTTCCACCTTCAAGCTGGCAAGTGAAGGGACTTGGCTGAGCAGTATGCTATGTCCTGGCTGCATCAGGAGAATGAGCGAGGAGGAAAGAACCCTGAGGGGGTTCCCCGGAAGGTGCAAGGTTGCTGCCACCCGCTTGGCACCCTTTTGTAGTTGAAGGCTGAGTAAATACTATCTCCATTTCATTTGTGGGAAGTGACTTGCCCAAGATAACAAATTGGTCTATGAGTTGAGTAAAACACATTTTTTTTCCTTGCTTTTCTGCTGATGAAATTTCCTGAGGCAAAGATCAAAAAAGCTTTGAAACAAACAGCCAGTTTCCTTAAAGGCTCTGTTGTGTGAGCTGATAACACTACTGAAAAGGTGTTGGCTGCAAGCAGCAGATTGCTCTGGAGATCCGGCAGCTGTGGTACACGTGGAGAGCTAAGAGCTCAGGTTTATTTTTATAGCATCAGTCTCTGCTTTGTTCACAGTGGTAACTGCTGAACTTCCCCATGCCAGCTACAGTAATTGCACAAGTATTGTTTTTCTAGAAAAGCGTTACTTGATACAATTTTAGCCTCTTGCTGCACTTCAGTCACTAAAAGTGAGGAAAAGGTCCAGCACCATGTCAAATCCCAGTTTTCCGCGGCTCAGTGGAGATGTTCTGTGGGTCACATATGGGAACAGTTGTTGGCATCTCATTACCATGTCATGTCCTAAAGCAACATAGTGTTTGTGGTAGCCTGCAGAACATGAGCTCTGAAGGGTGGTATTACAGAGAAACAGCCTCATTTCTACTGTGGACTCAAAATCCAAGAGAAAGTCCTTTTCAGAGGAACATCCAGCTGCAAAACATCAGTGGCTTAAGACACTAATGCCATTAGATTCTCTGTTCCTTGCTTGTCACGACAGCGTAACTTTTCAGTCCATTAGCTTCTGCCTTGACCTTATTCTGGCAAACTCCCTTTCGCCCACAGAAGCAGAGCATTTAATAACTTCTCTCTCAGAAAGCAGCCAAACAAGCACAAATGCTGCAGAACGAGTCTCCTGCCCTCGTTTCCCAAAACATGCAGGTCTGAACCTGTGGAAAGATCTCCTTGTTACATAACCTAGTCTCTGCAGCCTTTGCAGAGGCTGCAAACCTCTCAAAAACCAGACCGAAAGTCAAGTAACCTACATTCCCCACAGCTCAGGCTGGGGAGAGATCATGCTTGCGCAGCCAAACATTTATAATAAGCAATATAATCCAGTTGCTTGATTCTACAGGGAAATTGCTCAGAGAGGGTTCAAACCATCAGTGTGCTGAGGTAAGCAGCTCCTTTCACCACTTGAGTGGACACAGGCTAAGCAGTACACTCCACCCCATGGTGCTTTTTAGGCATTTGATGGATTGATGTTTCTCGGTTACAGCTCATGGACTTCAGTTCTGTTAAAACAGCTTTTATCACCACACGCTTACATGCAACTTGGGTGATGCTCATATTTCTTTAACTTTGAATTTCCAGTGAACACTTGTGAGGTTTTTTTCCTGTTGAAACTGCAAGTTTCATAGAGTTGTGTGCCAGTTAAATACATGACTCCAGCTCAACCGAGGCTTTGCTTTGATTATAGTTGTGGGGACACATGGACACCTTCCTGCATCTTGTAGCCCAACTCGTGTCCTATAGTTGTCTTGCGCAACAGAAACACAGTGAAGAAAAGGTATTTCATAATGGTGGGAATCTAAGGGTGACTCCTGCAAGTTTTGTCCTAGCTGGAGTAGCAAACCCTGACTCCCACTGCTTAAGCAGGAGTTGGAAGCATTGGCCGTGCTGCCAGAAAGTGTGGACTGATCAACCCTCTGTTTTACAACATGTTGCTCATTTCTGAAAGATTCTGCCAGTAACAAATTTATCAAATCCAGATGCCTCATTTGCTGAAGACCTAGCTTTCTCCATATAAAAGCCTCACACTGGCCTTAATGCTAATCTTACAGAAATCAAAGGGATTTGGGACACTTCACTAAGTATGTTTTGCTACAGGCTGTTGCTTCTGGCTTGTGCAGGCTGCCCGTGGCTTGTACCCCAATTAGCATGTTTCAGATTTCTTTTTAACTCCCTCTCACCCACACAGGCATTTATGGTAAAAGGCTAAACAGTGCCTTGGAGAGGCAAAAGTTCTTTTTTCCAAGGTACAACTTTATGTTGTCCTGCCATGTGTCCTACACGTGGTGGTGTGCATTATGGCCATAAGCAAAGTGAAGTCTAGAGATGGGCTCACTAGGAAATGTAAATGCCCTCTGGGGAGCGGTGGGAAGAAGAGGAGGCCTTTCTTTAACTGAAAAGCTGTTCAGCATAAGCCATATTCTGATTCTGCGGCTAAACAAAAAGCTAAACTAGTTACTGAGCAGAACTAATTTCTCTTTCAAGTAAGCCATTTCATGGGCTTGCATTTCACTCAAAGAAAGCCAGTGTAGCTGAGGAGGCTTCTGTTGTGCTAAGAACTTTACCACCTCGCAAGTACAGATCCCCATTCTCTCGACACTGGAGCGCTAGGCGTCACCTCAGTCTTTGTGGTAACTCAATTGGGTTACAGCAGGGACACGTCCAAACTCATTTAACTGTTTACGACATGGCAACGCAAGTGAGATTCAGTCTGAGATAAAGGCTCCTGCTTTACAAGTCTGCTTGTGAGCCTGGTTTCTGAGGACCTGCAGTCAGTGGAGCCCAGAGAACAGTCCGACTCACTGCAACTCAAGGAGAAACCTGCTGGGCAGGAATATCAGAGCTCGCTTGAAAAATGAACAATGTTTGCACTGACATACAAGGTGAAACGTGGCATAGATACAGGTTGTTTAAAATGTTTAAGTTTTTTAACAAGTTTTATTCCAAACAGCTGATTAACCCATCAAAGGTTTAAATCAGATTATTCAATGCTTTCACAGGTTTCTAACGAGGAAATGCATAGGTCAGGAGCCTACTTGTGCTTGTGGGGAAGTAACGGCATTGTGTACTCCTGATAGGGTGTCCAGGATGTGCAATGAGAGTGGGAAAACCCCCACTGAATCAATGCACTAAGATATACGTTCACAGAGACTAGCCACAAACCAAAGATACAGGGTTTCACAACATACTTGGCCAATTAAAAAAAATAAATAAGACTTTGATGATTTTTATGCTCTTTTTGGTGTTTTTTTAAAATTAATTTTTGGTTATTTCAATATCATTAAGTAGGGGTTTTATGGAGACAAAATGCATTCAAACATTCAATTTCTAGCAATAGTTGAATTATGTTTGGATAAATTATATTCTGCTTTAGCGAAGTATTAAGTATTTTGTAACAGGTCTACATTTTATGGCAGCCTGCATCTACCCATTCAGTGTCTGATCAAGAGGGAATTCCACATTTGACAGACTGCAAGTGGGGACCACAAAACCTAAATATTAACTTGGATCCTTTATTGGATACATGTGCAGCTACTTGGGTGGAGAAGCCCAAAAAATGCACAAGAGTTCTCACAGAGGTAAGAAAAGCAACCTTTCAATTGGCCATCTGCACACAAACTCTCGTTAAATTTATACATGTAAATCATGATTTAGGCACTCAAAGATAGTTTCCACAAAGCCCAGTGCCACACACTCCTTGAAGAACACAGGAAACGTTTAATGAAGTGAGAAAGTTACATTTCTATGTTAACAGCACAGCTTGCCTATTTTTCACCAAACTTTTCTTTAGATAAGGCCTTGATCATCTGAGCTGTGATGCGCCCATCTGATTTACCAATAATGCCATCTTCTCTGTGGCTCCTGGTTGGCAATTCTTCTGGTTCTTTATGAATAGGCATGGCTTTTCCAACAACACACATTAACCTTGTCTCCAGAGGACCCAGTTTTAAGTATTCCTTAAGAAGAAAGAATTTATTCTTTTGCAATTACATCGAAAAGCAGCCATTCTTAAAGAAAAACAGCCCAGCAACTTTCCTTCTAAAAGCAACTGTAAAGATGCTGCCCTGGTGTTGCAATGTTTGGTAATGTCAGTGTTAATGGGCTTGGTTTACAAGCCAGCTCATCTTAGGAGGCTGCAACCCTGCTGCCCTCTTCTTTTCCTGTGTTTTTTCACCAATAACACTTTCTCTGCAAACCAAATTCTGCTCCCAAGTTCAGTTCTGTGAGAAGAATTAAACTAATCCAACAGCTCACTGCTGCCAAAAGAGAGAGGTCCAAGTCCAGCCATGTGCTTCCACCACGCCTGTGCTGGCTCTGGTCTTCTCCAAACCTCTGAGTCAATTTGGTTGGCTAATCCAACAGAAAACTAATTCAGGAGGAGAAAAAAAGGCAAACTTTTCTGCTGGGTTAGTGAGTGAATCAGCTACAGAAAAGGTTGATGTGTACTACGGGTTCCCTAAGGGCAGGAGCAGGACCATACAGCCAAGGCCAGGGAGAAGGAAGAAGGAATCCAACAGCACGAGCTCTTATATCACCTCTATTTAATAAATGCTTCATAATAGTTGCCAATGCAACTCCACTGTTTGCAATTACACCTTTGTTGGTATGAAGTACAGGAATGTCAGCAGCATCTATGTCCCTCAGTAGAGTGGGCTCTGCAGTGCTAGCAGCAGGAAGAAAGAAGTAAAGCTAGTGTTCCTCTCCCAAGGCAACAACCACAAGGAAACAAACACCTGGAGAGATTTTTTTTGTCAAATGTTCAGCTTTTCTCTGTAATGACTCTTCAGGACAGAGCCACTCCTTATGTTAGTCTCTGATCAAGGCTACAGGATAATTCTCTGAGCACAAGTTGCAGGGTATTAATCAAACTAATGCCAAGTTTCTAGAAAAAGAGTTGTTGTTTGGTTTGGGGGTTTTGTTGTTGTTTTTAACTGATCATTAAGTTTCAATACAGTACTCAAGAGTAAAGAAACATTCTGGAGAAGTATCTTTACACAGCAAGCCCTGCAGTCTGTACCACGTCTATATCATCTTCTTTAATTTGCAGTAGAAATCGATGATGTAGAGTAATAGATTTTCTGAGAGTAATTAGTTTATTTAGAAATGTATTCAAGTTTTTGTAACTCAAGAGTGTACTATCAAAGGCACCCAGGAAAAATCTTTTTGCAATCTAGGATCGAGGATCTCCTGAAGCAGGTGCCACCACCTCTTTCGAGAACCACACAAACTCTGCCTATTTACATATAACCTCTACCTTTTTATTTTCTCAAACCTGTATTTTGCACCCAGGAACACATTCATCCTGGCTTTCCGTTGAAGGATCAAGTGACTTGTTGATCCTTTAATGCTATTATGCAACATAAGTTCTAAAAGGACCAGCACCCAAGCAAACAAGAATCTGTGCAATACCATAGAAAACTGTTACTTGGTGACATTCAGAATTCTTTCTAGGGGGAATTTGACACTCACGTATGCTGATTCCTGGGACACCATTCGATTGCCAAAACAATGCATCTTGTGCTATCAGAAATGCCGTAAGGCATCCAAAACATCCACGTGAGGCTGACCTGTATGACAGACCCTATGCTCTTTTGGCCCAGCATCTGAAGGACAGGGAGTGTCCTCACCATCTCAGCTAGCACCTATAGCAGATGCCTATGATTAAGCATCTGAATTATACACTAGGTAAAAGACATTGGAATTTTTTCTGCCTTAACATCACTGGGAGTAGAATGCTTCTGGCAGTAGCTCATGCTCCACACTGAAATATGTTTTTGTTAGTGAAAGACTTGATTAACTCATACCTGGAAATCTTTTTCATCTTCATACAACAAGCTATCAAGAGTTGGAGTGAAAGACTTTTCCCGCAGCTCCTCATCACTGTCTTGAGGCTTCTCATTCTCTGTTTTAGACTGAATCTTTGCAAAGGCCTTATTTTTCTGACAGGAGACTGTGGCACTTCTGAGGCTTTCATCTCCATCTGCTTTTGCTTTTTAAAGAGATGAACAATGATGTGTATGTAATTGTTAAGCTTTATAAAGATCAGTATAAAGATCAGAATTAGTATTCAGTATGAGCATTGCCTGCAATCTTTAACATGGTTTGGCCAGTGTGATGTAATAAACAGCTTGGTAAGGTTTTTAATTGGCAATCCAAGCCAACTGTTAATTTTGCTCACTGATTTTTCTATGTTTATTTCTGTTCCAAATTTCTCATCAGTATCAGGGACTGAAATTGATTGGAAGTTAGAAGTAATGGGTCTGTGGGATAGGGCACAGGAAAAATTAGCTTTTATCAATTCAACTTCAATCTTATATAGCTATTAATAGTTAAAAAAACAGGAAAGGCAGCAAAACCAAGTAAAAACCTTTTCTATATCAATGCATATATCTCTATATGTACATATATATACACACCTGATGGTTCCAGAAAGGCCCACCTATGGCTGGAACTGATCAGAACTTCAACAGACTTGTTCATGTGTTCATAACTGTATGGAACTTACTTCTTTGATTTATTTTTGTCCTTTATTTCCCCTCTTTCTTCTACTCACACGAAGTGAGTAAATAAAACATGTGATACAAGGAATCCATACAAACAATCCTGGATGGGTAAGCCCACTCAGTCCTTCTTGCCTAATGGTATATCCTTTTCCTGGGCACACCCACCAGAACAGATGGAGGTTCAGCCCAAAATTCAGTACTGCTTATCCAGATTTTCAGCTCAGGCTGATCTCCATGCAGCTTCATCTGCTCTTGCTAGGGATCTATTTATAATTTAACTCCAGTGTATCTTTATGAGCTGGATGACAGTAAAGTGCATGTAGACTTCAAGTGAAAGCCAGTGTAGAGTTCAAAAGTGTCCTCTCAGGGACAAGATATAATGAAGTTATGGTGATACGAATCAGTAAAGAACTGATTAAGATATGAATCGTATCTTCATAAAAGATGGCTGATCCTATTAACCACATTCCAGGATAGCTCTATATGAGTAATTACATTCAACAATCTAAACACCGATTTCAGTTTTAAAACTTTATTTTAAAGTTTTATTTTATTTATTATTATTTTATTATTATTTTTATTTTAAAAATAGATTGTGGTTTTGTCTTCTTAACGCCAACTACAGTCTATCATTGCTGTGGTGGCTGCAGTTAAGTGTAAAATTAAGTGTTCATCATGTAAAACCAGCAGTTTGATAAAAAAACCTAAGAAATAAAAAAATATTTAAACTTTCAGTGACTTATCAGTTCTTATAAGATGCTGGCATGTGCATTACCTGCATATTCTCTATACTCTACTTCTTTCATTTCATCCTTAGGAAATCCATCCTGCAAGCCAGCTGCCTGGGTAAGAAACAAATGTCTATCAAATAAAAAATAAAAAAAAAAGTGAAACTCAGAGGTATGAATTTTCTCTCTAAATTTTCCTGCGCAATCTTTTGGGGTGGAGGAAGATCACCCTTTCTGAAAGCTATTTGCTGCTTAACCACAAATGCAGAATAGCGCAATGTTTTAAAAATGCAACAGAGGCAGCCAGGTAGCTTAGTGGCTAAGAAGCTGCTCTTTTTTATTCTTAGTGCCTAAGTTCAACTATGTCCATGAGCCTAAAAGAAAACAAATGTTTTAAGTCTCCAGTCAGTCCAAGATTCAAACCACAGCTGGCAGCTCTCACTTAAAAGCAGTCCAAAATTTGGAGAGGAGTGAAAAATGGCCACTTCTTAAGACTTGGAACTTTATTATGCAATATGGCTGGAATCACTGAGCTGAGACTGGAAAATGAAGATGGATCATTCCCATTGTTACATTGTGCTTTTGATACCATTAGTGTTGACATTTTACAGCTAAATTAATCTTTCTCTAGGGAACAAGTTAAATAACTTCAATATAAAATAAACTAATACTACAGACACCTCTACGGACAGATGTATTCCAAGGCCTCTTCCTTACTCAGTACCGGGTCATCTGTTTCACTTGATATTGCAAAATCCCATATATTTGCATATTGATCTCCACATCCTTTAACATTTTGCCAACAGTAGAGGAAAAATCTATTACTCAGCGCTTGGTCTGAGAAGCTGGGTCTGAGACAATTACAACAGAAAGAAACTATTTCCAATCCCCAATGGTATCCCCACTAAAAGAAAGTGAGTGTCACTAGGTCTTAATAAAAAAAACCAGTTTCTTCCCTGAATTTTGGTATTTAGAAGGTTACAATGTCATTGTCATCCTTCAGAGACACAAATCCCACACATAGTCAAATCCTGCCTCCCCTCAGCTAGGAAACTACCTTGGCTTTGTTGTGGGAGAGCCCAAATAGCTTTAGAGGCAGGAGAAGGCATTATCTTTTTTTAAAAAAATTAAATCACTTTTGACTCTGTAAAGGCATCATTTTACCTGGGTACTCTCAGATTCTGAAGTCGGCCATCAATCAGTTTTGCCACTAAACTGATATTTTCTTCTTCCAGGAGCTGAATAGAGGCTTTCAAATCACTTACTTCCTTTTGGTACATCTTAACCTTTCGACAGTTAAAACAAACAAACAAACAAAACCCATACAAAAAAAGGATCATCTCAGAAAGGCTATAGCCATTTTGGAAAGCTTTCGTAGTAACTATCTTAATATCACATACCTGGAAAGAATGCAGCAAGACTGCACATTTGGAGGAGAAACATAGTGACATATTTTCAGGCAAAGGGAAGGTTTCTCTGGTTCTTTCTACACCTCTTTTAGAACCCTTTACTGGCACAACTCTGTCAATCACAGCCACACATTTGGGCTATGCAACCCTGATAGCAGAACCTTCTCATGTAGCCAAAGAGGTCCAGGAGAGAGAAGCTCTGGGTTTTTCTTTTTTGGTTTCACATTAGAGTGTTGAGAGAGAAAAACCATCTTTTTAGACTTAAATTCAAGCTCTTCCTCAGTAAGTGTTGCTTTTCTAATTCCTGTCTATACACAAAACCTTTCTTACCCAGAATTACTGAAACTTTCTGTCCAAGTTAGCCATGACATTGGCTAAACCGCAGGTTCTACTTTTTTTTGGACTGGTAATTGCCCCATATTGCCATGAAGTTATATTAACAAAAGGATACTGGTTACTCAATTCCTCTCACTTTTTGTGAAAAACAAGCAAGTTCTTAGCCCTTCGCTGGGAAGCGAACAAGTGCTGTCCCTCATGGGTCCATCCTCAGACCAGTACTCTAGTATCTTCATCAATGACATAGACAGTGGGATCAAATGCACCCTCAGCAAGTTCACAGACGACACCAAGCTGAGTGGTGCAGTTGACACACCTGAGGGACAGGATGCCATCCAGAGGGACCTGGACAAGCTCAAGCAATGGGCCCGTGAGAACCTCATGAGGTTCAGCAAGGCCAAGGGCAGGGTCTTGCACCTGGGTTGGGGCAACCCCTGGTATCAGTACAGGCTGGGGGATGAAGGGATGGAGAGCAGCCCTGCTGAGAAGGACTTGGGTGTCTTGGTGGATGAAAAACTGGACATGAGCCAGCAATGTGTGCTCGCAGCCCAGAAGGCCAACCATCTTCTAGGCTGCACCTAAAGCAGCATGGCCAGCAAGTCGAGGGAGGGAATTCTGCCCCTCTGCTCCACTCTGCTGAGATCCCCCTGCAGTGCTGCATCCAGGCAGCACTGAAGGGTCCATGGACACCTTATTGCAGCCTTCCAGGACCTAAAGGGGGCTTAGAAGAAAGATGGGGACAGACCTTTTAGCAGGGCCTGTTGCGATAGGACATGGGATAATGGTTTTAAACTAAAAGAGGGCAGATTCAGACTAGATCTAAGGAAGAAATTTTTGACAATGGGGATTGTGAACCACTGTCACAGGTTGCCCAGGGAGGTGGTAGATGCTGCATCCCTGGAATAAATCCAGGTCAGGTTGGACGGGGCTCTGAGCAACCTGCTCTAGTTGAAGATGTCCCTGCTCACTGCAGGGGGGTTGGACTAGATGGCCTTTAAAGGTCCCTTCCAACCCAAACCATTCTATGGTTCTCTGATTCCATGATAAGTGCAATGTACAATGGGGCAGATGATACCTTCCCAGAAATCTTAGCCACAGGCACATGTTTAAAAACAATACCTAGTGATCTGTATGCAGCTGTTCTCACCAAAGCCAAATTAACCCAGCTTTAATAATCTGAATTTGCAGTTAAAAACTAGTTCTCATTTCTCCCAGGGATTAAAAAAGGTGAAAATGACAGGCCCTTAACCAGTAACAGGATGTGGTTTGGCATGATGAGGTGATGCAGCTTTACACCATCTTGGTGTGACACACTAATAATGCAAAAATGTGACTGAAGTCTCCAAATCTGTCCAAATTTGGAGGTAACTAGTTTAGGGCTCTTTGGGTAAGTAATTTTTCAGTTCAGGAGCCAAACTGAAGAAAAAGATAAATTTTGAACTGGGACAAAACTGAAATTTTTGGTTTATCTGCCCAAAAGAAAATACTGGAAGAGTTTGTCAGCTACATATAAACATTAGCCTGAAATAAAATATTTCATCTGTATAAGAAAATCAGAGAAAATGAATGGGTCAATTCAGAGGACTGGAGAAGTTAGTGATAATAGTTATGTTTTCCACAATAATTCAAAGCACTAATTCAGAACACAGGAAACTAGTAACATAGGAAACTAATTCATAACATAGGAAACTTCTAGTTGAGAGGAAAGAAACCCAAATCCCGCAACTCTGAGGCAAGGGCCTGTCAGGATGTAAGAGTACTGCAAAGTGGATCTCCCTTGTTGACACTGCCTAATGTGTGTAAAGTTGGTTAAGTGTTCTGTGAGGCAGAGAGATGGGAAGGGAATTCCTGCTTATTCAGTGATAGGATATATAGATACGAGCTCCTGTTTGTTTATACAGGTTAAAACCTTAATTCCCCCCTGTTGAGCCCTATCTCATTGCCTCAGAACCTGTGGTTTGGACACCCTCCCTGGAAAGCTAAAAATGTAGGCTCAGAGCTCATTAAGGGGAAGAAGAAAAGCTGTATCCCTGCATACTGGCAAGTATGTTAAACTAGCAAGTAAAATGGAGAAACCTCTGCCAGGTTTGTTGGTGTGGCACCGAAAAATAAGAAGTTCATCTATTAATTTCCCAGAAAGTTTTGCTCAGTTTAAACTGTGAGCTTGTAAAGGTGGGGACGGGTATTTCCTCCCTCCAATCTCCTGCTTAGATTTGATTGCAACAAATAATCTGTATTGACTGGAATAAACACAATCAAATGTTCACCGTGGAAAAATCAGTTTCCTAAATTTGGCTCACCAAAAAAAGGGGTTTTTTTTGACAAGAAAAGTCACAGCTATCTAATATATAGCTCTAAATTGCCATTAAAGGACAGTATAAAAGCTATCAAGTAATCAGTTACAACTATATACAATTTTGATTTTCCTCTCTTCAGTGTACTAATTTCCAGGGTTTCTTTATTATCTCCCATTTAAAGCTGTCTCAAGCCTTTTCTCCAAAAATGTTTCCAACATCCATATCCATTTTCTTTCAATTTGGCAGAACTAGAACTTCAATGCAACTCAAAACTACACTCTTCAGATACTTACATGGTTGAGCCTTTACACTATTTAGTATTCCAGTCTCCACAGAAATAAATACTTAATTGTATGGAGCATTGTAGTCCTTCATAAAACTGCTTGGGTAGGAAAATGGGTCCTTCATTTGTGAAAGCAGATGTTCACCTTTTACCTTTCTTCACCACATACACTGTTTGCTACTCAGGATTACTGATTAACTACAGGACAACCACTTTCCTTTTCCTAGGAAGGTCTTCAGAGGCCCATCACTGGGGGAAGAGTTAGGACTGTAGGCCACTGTATTTCAAACCTGAGCTGCCATCATAAACTGTACGCAGGTGATTCTCTTACCTCTTCTTTTAGCCATTCATTCTCTTCAATTTCTCTGCAACTGTTTTTGTCTAAGTATCTTACAGCATTCTGAGAAAACACAAGTTAAAATCATCTCATCTGAAAGCAGGACTTTGACAGTGCTGCATGTTATAAAGAAGAACCTTCTGCTGTTTAGCATGAAATAATTAAGAAACACCCACACAACAGACTGTAGCATCCCCTGAGGGATTACAAGGGGATTTAGTCCACAAGACCAGATGTTTCTTCTCCATCATCCTGTCAAGCGCAGTTCATATGTCAAGCAATTTACCAATATCTTATAATTTCCCATATTAAACTAGAACGTTTTCTTCTTGCCTAACAAGTTTTGCTATGTTCCCACTACTGCTCAAATCTTCCTGTTTTCAGGAAATTTTTTTAGTTGTTAAAAAACCCAAGCAAAATCACAAATGAGGCAGTACTGATCAGGTCCTGACAAGTGACTCAAACCATTTAGATGTCTATGGTAATGAACCAAGGCTACAATTTAATTATTGATATCAGTAAGAGGAAAGGAACAACTGCGAGGGAAGATGCCCTTGTAGGTGACCATAAATACAGTCCTTTGTATTATGTTCTCACATGACTGAAAGTTCCAGCACTGAAGTCAGGGAATTTAAATACTTAATAGACCCAACCAGTGTTTTGGACTGAAGCATGCTTTGCATTTTGTGAGTATAAGAAGTCATCACCATAAATACTTTGTAAATCACATTTGCAAATCAAAGCTGCAGAGATGACAAAAAATCGGTATGTCAATAAGCCTAAATTTTCCTGTGAACTGCACTATTTTGGCATTTTCAAAAGTTTGTGCTTTACAAGTACAAACCAACATTTTTTGCCTTATTTTTTCCATCTTGATGTCTATTTCCATGGAGACAATCTTTTACTGTGCTGTTAATTGTTTTTTGAAATCTATGCAAATGTCAAAATTAAGGTCACAGCAAAAGTGACATGTTCTTGAACAAGATATAACAGTGCATGTTGCTGCAGTTTCCCATGCCTTGTTTGTAAAACACCCTCACGTCTACTCACTGTTAGTTTGATGTAAAAAAAAAAGTACACGTGTATAACAATATCCAATGCCATATTTAGTAAGAAAATTTGCAGTTTATTTTACTCTCAATTTACTAGAAAAGTTCCAAGGCTTAATTCGAGTTAAAATAGTTATTAATGTAGAGGTACATGAATCCCAACTATGATGTAGTTAGCACTTTTAAAAAAGGCAGAAGGAATACCTCAGGTGCCTGTTCCTTACTTAACTTCATGTGCCTCTCAACCAAGCTGTCATTTTCTTCTTTCACTGCTTTCAAAGCATTTCTATAATATTCTTCAAAACAAAAAAGATCAGAAATCATTATGTGACATCAATTTCTTCTGACAACAAATAGATAACTGGCATGTTGTTCCTAAACTGGACCTTATCAGCCAGTATCACATGCTTAGATGCTCATGCACATCTTATGCAAATGGCACCTTTTTCAGTCAGTTATTATACAGAGCCCAATACATTTTCTGACTTATCCAAGCCTTCCAGGGGGTTCTAATTAGACAACAGAACAAAATGGTGAATCTGGCAATTTCCTCAATGATTTGTTTTCATCATTACGTATTGTCGTTATTTAGAAAGCGTGTTGTATACCTAACAATTTGTTTGGCTTCAAGTTCTAGTCACTTGCTATTTAATTATTTCATCCTTCCCTTCAGCTGTTTTTGTGCTATTCTAAATAGCCCACTGCTGCCTTTTGGAGGAATGAATGAGATTGTAGTAATTTTCTTTGAAGGAAGGCACTTCATACTTGTTCCAGAGGCTTGAAATTCAGCCTGCTGAAATTCAGCTTCTGTTGCACACAGTCTGTTGCTGATCTGGCTGTAAATGATTGTCTGGTCATGGACCCACTGTGGATTCAAAGGCAGTCATATATGGAAGGTGCATTAGCTGTGCAGGAGTTCTCAATTTAACATTGTGGAAGCTGGCCTGCCTTAATCAATCCACCATCTAGGCTTGGCAGAATAAAAATGGAAGTACTTACACACTATAATTAAATCAACTTTTAATTCTTTCAGACAGCTAAACAACCTGAGTTGTACTGGGAGAATGAAGAAGAGGAGGAACTGTTCAGACATACTGTTTGTAAGGAGGCTATTTTCCCTAACTCTCACTGCAACACTGTTTTCCCCAGACCTTATGTTAGTATATGGCACTCTTTTGCTTCCTCTCCCCTCCAGCAATTTTGTTTCACATGTCATCTCCAGACCACATGAAGTACGCCGGCGTCAAGACCTTTCGTGATACCTACAGAGACAGAAACCTCTTAACTTCTGCTGATTCCTAAGCCTGTCACACATTGGAGGAATGAACAAGCCCAATTTCCTGCAGCATTACACTGGAAGCTTGTTAGATTTTTTTTTTTGCTAGGCTGGAAGACTCTATTCCCCAGCCACTTTATAAGTTTGATTTTAGGAAGTTGAGTAAAATAGTATGCTAACATCCAGTACTGGCAGCATAATTTTGCAGTATGTTAATTAGGCAACTGCTATATGTACCTCTGGAACAGTCTTTCTCTAAATACACTTCCATTCAACCGTGAATTTTTGACTCTGTACCCTGTGACATGCAGGACGTCGGACTGAATGTTCCTACTGGCTCATTCTGGCATTCTATATAAAAGCCCATTCTCTTTTTCGTTACATATTTCAGCAAAGTTTTAAATTGACTAAGAACATGGAAAATGCATAATGAAAAATATCAACTTCTTCCGAATACAGAGATGGATATCTGACAAGCTATCTGGCACTATAGAAAAGACAGTGCATATCTTAATCACGATAAAATGTGTTCCAAGAGACAAAAAGATAGCTATCTGGCTCTTACCCACAGTAGTTGATGCCTGGTAATGGTTGGCACAGAATATACAGAGACCCTTAAAGCAGTGTCACTGCCTGTTACTACCAGCTGCTTGGCTGTGGTCATGCATACTGAGAGGGACATAAAGGAAGAAAACCAGGACATCCTTCTCCCATTAGAACCATGGGTTATATAACAGCAAAATATTTAAGTGTTTTAAAAATAATGCAGTAGTAAAGAAATCTTTGTAAAGCACTCAGCACCAGAATACATAAGCTCTCAAATTAATTCCACTGTTGTGTCAGTACTGAAACAGTTCCCAGTATTTTTATATGGCTGTACTGGCAAATTTGAAGGGCCTCAAACACAAGACTATGCAACTGGGAGGCAAAGTTCAGACCACTGGCTAAACAGCTCCCTCTAGTTCTGCATTTAAACCAGTGTGATCGATTCAAAAGACTGTCAAAAGACTTTGCTTTCTTGTCAACGGAGTTTTCAACATGTGAAATGCTTCCAGCATGGTGAGAAGCAGTAAGAACGGAGTCAACTTTTCAAGTATGACTGTTAAGGGACACCTGTGTGTAGGCAACCTAAATACATGTAGACTTACTTTTAGAAAACCGCTGTCCTTCACAGTAACATTTTTGAAATATGGGTTGCCTATATTTTACAAGAAAATCACCAGAAGACAACGATATCAGTGTCTTTAAGTGTTCATAATTTCTACAACTTCATAAAATTCTTTACTGAGTTGACTTTCATGGAGATAGAGTTCTTCCACTTTATAGGATTTTTGTTCTATAATTCTATGATTTTATAGGATTATGCAGTCTAGGTTAGGTGCACTGCCTTGCAAAAGTTGATATAAGTTACGATAACTTGACATCAATCAAAATTTATATTTTATTCACTTCCCAGAAGTAGTACAGAAAGCGCTTGCAAGACTTACATTATACTAGCTGTAAACTGACCTGTAGCCCTCTGAAGGTCATCTTCGACTTCCTTGATGTCTTTTTCCAGATTCATAATCTTGTTGGCCTGTGTTTTACATCCTACATTTTTGTACTCCAACCAATAATCCCTCTCACCTTGCTTTACTGAAAGTCTTTGGTCAGTTTCTTCAATCTGAGAGTGCAGATCTATTAAAGTAAGAACATCAGAAGGCAAGTTCATTAACAGTTCCTTGAACTGATCCTTCATAATTCTTACGACTTCATGAAATTCTGTATTAAAGGCACTTTTCACACAGAATCACACAGAATCACTAA